GTTATTAATTCCTACTATTGTAAACTAATGAGTGGGATGCTACTTGGTATAAATTAGACTTTTGGGTTCAGTATTAAAAAGGAACAGAAGAGTTGGAAGTGGCCGGAGACGAAGAAGAAGGCCAGAAAAAGTTCAAGCTCTCAGAGAGGGAGAGAGTTGGCTCCATGGAAGTGGGAGCCAGCTCCCTCTTGTTCAGAGCCGGATCTAGGTGATTGGGAGCCGGCTCCCCTCTTCATAGAGCCGGCTCCAAGGGCTAGGGAGCCGGCTCTCAACTCTTGAGAGTAGACTCCCCTGTTTTGACGCATTCAAGAATGGTTTTGGGCACTGTTTGGACAATTTGGGTTTTACGAATTGTTTGGAATATTAAATAGGGTTCTATATATTAATTTAGAGTGTAGTGAAACCCTATGAGGCATAATTTATCTCTATATGCTAATGGATTTCACAGCGTGGAAGTTTAAACAATGTCGCACACCGTTAACGGATATAAAGTATTTAGTTGCTTAAACTTATTTTAGCAACTTAGATGACTGGAGTATGATTTCTAAATTTGTTTTGGATGCACTATAGAGTCTTATACATATTAGGTTTTGTTATGGTTCTCTTGGATTTTAATTGATGAATTAATAAAGTATATTATGTCAATTACATGGAAGTTAGCCTAGATTTTAATTGAGGAATCATTAAATTATATTCCGTCAATTACCTGGATTTATATATTGAAATTTAATTGCTGCGTTATGATATTAAATTATGTCAATTATATGGATGTTATGGATTGTATGCACCGGTATGAGAAGGTGGCATACTATGGATGGTTTAGCTCAGAACGCTAAAACCTACCACGTTGGAATAAGGGAATGGATTATAAAAATTGAATTCTACTTATAATTAGGTCAGATCAATTGAGTAAGTTGGGTGACTACATGGATTAATTGTTATTTGTAGTTAAGTCAGATCAACTGGATAAGTTGAGTGACTAACTGGATTATAAATCTTATGTCAGATTAACAAAGAATTGAATGACATAATCTGGTTTTGGACGGACTTTAAATATATAAATATGGTACCACGATATGAGCTTGAGTCTCAGAGTCAATGGTTAGGGCGCGAATATGCAGTGGATGTGTAGCTGGCTATGATAGGTTGAGGTGTACCCTGTTAGGCTTAGGTACTCATGCTCACTCAGGTGCGTTTTGCATATTGCCTTCTATTCAGGTTGAGACCCCATTTGTAGTCCAGTGAATATCCCTTAGTATGGATACATATATATATTTATGGACTAGATAGATATTGTGAGATATCTATGATGTATGGATTGCAGTTAGAATATAACTTGTTCGTAGGCCTGACCCACTCTTATATTTTTCTGGTGTTCGACGGTTTCGGCCTTAAAGTTTGATCGTGCTGAGCAAAAATAGTCACTCATTCATTTGTTTACGTAGGATTTCTTTTTATGTTTTAATTTGGGATTTTATTTTCAATTATTCAGTTTTAGTTGGGATTTTGGTTAGGGGTCCACTAGATGGATTCCCGAGTTATACTCTTGGAGGTTTTGGAAGGATTGGATTTTATTAATCTTTATTATTTGAGGATTTTATATTTAGAATTCCTTCAGCTTTAATATTTATTTCTTAAATCTTTTTTTGTATTCCTGCTTGTTTATATATTAATTGTTTGATATTCCCTCGGGTTTGGACTTGGGCTTGATCAACCTATGTTTCGGAGTTGAGGGGTATCACACTGCCACTGCCTTCAACCAACACTATTGCCGCCTTCCACCATTGCCACCATTGCTGTCTTCCAATACCACTACCTACACCACTACTATTTTCCACCTCCACTACCATCGTCACCACCATTGCCACCATTTATTTTTAAAAAATTATTAGGGAATGTCATTTTGTTAATTTAATTTATTTGTTATTAAGAGGGATATTTTGGATAATTCAATTTGAAATTTATTCCATTCTCAATTTTAAATTGGTCCAACTAAACACTATAATGATTATTATCATTCTATTCTTACACATTTTATATTTACAACCAAACAATAGAATAAAAATGTTCATTCCATATCATTTCCATTCTCATTCTATCCCTGCTTACATTCAATTACATTACTGCACACCAAACATAACATTAAATGTTTTACATTGCGGGAATTATAGTTTTACTTCATTTAAGTATGTTTTGAGTTTTACATTATTCAATAAATATACCTAAACAAATCATGAATGAGAGTACAAAAGTTTGCAAATGAGATTCAAAGTCAGCGGGCATGAACATAGATGAAAATATAATCACCAAACTAATTAATTTCTCAAATATAATTAAAATTTTAACAGTGAAAGAAACAACAATTAGTACAAATAATTAAAATAATTTTTTTTTTTGAGTTAACGAAATTATTGTATCAAAATAGAAGCAAAAGTGACTAACCTTTTCAATTACTACCAATAACGATTTAACCTTTTCAGTTAGTACCAATAAAGATTGTTTAAAATATGAGAATATAAATCAAGTACTTTGAAATATCACAATTGATAGGAAAAAATAACCTACCTTGACCAGCCGCCAGATCTTTTCGACATATTTCGTTATTAGAGATAAAGATTTATATCATATAAGAATAATGACATTTCTTATCCAGGTTAATGAATGACGACGTGGTTCAACAGGGTGTGGATAACCTTGACACAATTTGAGAAAGTCAAAGGAGCAAATCATATCCCCGACAAATCTGACAACAAATGATCTCCTCTGATCTAGCACAAGCGGATCTCCCGCGGGACCAATTTGATTCCAATCGACAGTCATAAATAGGGCACCAAGCTGTTAAAGAAGGTATGGGAAAAAACCCCTAAACATGATATACATAATTATTATGTGATACGATTAAAAATACTAACTTGATCGTCGGATGGTCCTTGGCTGGCACCCCACCGGTGCCATTCGAGGTGACGTTCCTTTATTTTGCAGGTAAACGCCGTCGTTTCGAGTCGCAAGGATTTTCGCATCAACAACAATGATACTCATTTACCATATAAATTAATATACATATATCATTGAAGTGGTCTTCAACATTTGAATTCAAAACTCATTGACAATGTTGCTTTGTCATGACTTGGTGTCATTAAAACTAATTGTGTGAGTAAAAAACAAGGAATGCCAACACAAAAGTTTGAAATACTCCTTAATTAATTTCTTAAATATAATAGAAATTTGGATATTAAAAGAGTTGACAATAAAAGTGTTATTATTTTTCATTTAAATGAAAGATTTATAATTTAAATCATATAAAACGGGAGCGAAAGCGAGAGCGAATTATAGAGCGGGAGAGTAAGAACGGCATAATTAAATCATAAACAGTAAGAATTTAAGTAAAAGCGCACGCGGAGTGTGAAAACTGGAGCGCGCTCAGAATATGAGAGCGACACCTGTTGAGATGAATCGTGTGACTTAGGTTATAATATTAGTGCACCTCTAATTTTTTTCAACAATTAAAAAAACTGACAACAGACACCTTTAATATATATATATATATATATATATATTTTTTTTTTTTTTCTTTTTGAAATTATGACAATAGACACGTTTTAATGATTTGGACCTCAAAATTTTTGTATACGTCAATTTATTTTCCTATGCTAGCTAGATGAATGTTGTTTTTTTTTAAAAAAAAAAAAAAAATTTAGGGACTTCAAATTCTAAATTAAATACTCTTTTTCAATATCATATTTTTTTATTTTTTTAAAAAGTGAAAAATGTTAGCATATTTCATTTAGATTATTATATATTTGAATATTAAAAGAGTTGACATTAAATGTGTTATTATTTTTTATTAATTACTTTTTTTTTTCTTTAAAAAACTTTACTTCTACTTCTACTTTTCATACAGATGAAAGAGTAGTACAATAATTATGAAAAAAAAAAAGAGTAGTATAATATTAGTGGCATCGACTTTTTCAACTGTCACAAAATCTAACAATAAACACTTTTAATACACTTTCTGAAATTATGCCATCACACTTTTTAATGCATACTCTTTTTCAATATCATACTTTATTATTTTTTAAAAATAAATAATGTTAAAAAATAAAAAAAATAAGTTTACACTTTTAAAATAGTATAGATATAGATTTATTTTTTAAAAAATTGAAAAATGTTAGCATATTTCATTTAGAATAGTATATATTTGAATATTATAAAAGAATCGACATCAAATGTGTTATTCTTTATCATTAATTACTTTTATTTTTTATTTAAAAACTTTATTTCTATTTCTAATTTTCATTCCAATGAAAGAGTTATAAGCTAAGTCACACAATCCTTCTCAACAGATGTCGCTCTTATATTCCGAGCGCGCTCCCACTCTCACACCCCACGCGTGATCTTACCCAAATTATCACTATTTATGACATAATTTGCCGCTATGATGCTCCGCTCTTAAATTCGTTCTCGTTCCTATTTTCACTTTATGTGACTTAGATTATAAGAATATTTTGAGAGAAATGATAATAATTTAATGAAATATTCACAATACAAAAAATAATATAAACATTACAAATAAAATAATAAATATAAAAAGATAAGATAGTAAATTAATTTTAATAGTTGTACAGTTGTTTTTTTATTTTTTTTTCTCTAAACATAAAGCTTATCTCACTTTTCTTTTACTTCATATTTTATTTATTTATTTTTGATAAAATATTTCATACTTTAACCAAACATAAATGCTACAAGTTATTGTTATCATTTATTTACTTTTTCTCGCGCAGCCTTAAAAATGTTTTGCTCTTAATTTTTACACTCTGCATTCTCGAAATGCGGGTGCACGCAGACAGAGAATGTGCTTCCTAACGCCGCATCGGATAAGAACCACGATGCCCTGGTCCCAACGGCGAGACGGGCATGTTGGCCAGGTGTCATCACACAAGGCGTCTTCTTCACTTCATATTTATATGTATATATGTATGTATATGTATATATATTTCAAAAATGAGAATAAACCTCCCCAATCATTAGACCCCCGTTAATCATTAACGCATCCACCCCTCTCCATTTCCACATAGCCATGGCCGTTTCTATCTCCTCAATTCCCCCTAAACCGCCTTTCTCTCTCTGAATCTCTATCTACTTCCCCTCCCTCTCTATATCTTTCCTCTTCTGGCACAACGAATTTGTAACTAACAGCGTCAGAACTCATAGCTCTCTCTTTTTCTCTCTCCAATTTATACCGGAAATCACTGATTCTGGAGTTTATGTATCTGATATTCATCACAAGAGATCTAGACATGAATTTTTCTCTGTAAACCCTAATTTTTTTGCCATTAGAAATGGCGGTCGTGACTGGAGATCGATACCTCAAATCTCTGGTGAAGTTTGTGGAGGAGCAAGCGGGACCGTTGATCGAAGGAACCCTAGTTCTCAAGCTGAACCCTGTGGGACTTCACTACGTGCAATCCAGGCTCGAAGCACTCCACGAGCTCGAGAGCCTCCTCGCCGGCGCTCCCGTCGATTACCTACGCGCTTACGTCTCCGACCTCGGAGATCACCGCGCGCTCGAACAGCTCCGGAGAATTCTGAGGCTCTTGACGTCGCTGAAGGTCGTATCAGTGTTGCCGCCGCCGGCAAGAGACCCTCAACCGCTTACTCTGTTGCCGTTCGGGCGGTTGAAGGTTCTGGAGCTTCGCAGGTGTGATCTTTCTACTTCGGCTGCGAGAGGGCTTCTTGAATTGAGGCATACGTTGGAGAAGCTCATCTGCCACAATTCAACTGTGCGTTCTTTTTGTTACTTGTGTGTTGCTTTCTGTCGACTACACACAGAAAAGTGAGGAAAACAATAGAGAAATGAAAAATTAAATCTCACTCTTAATAGGAATGAAGCATTTTTGTCATTTAACCTGACACTTGATTAGACAAAGCTGAGTTGAGTTTTTTTCCAAAAAAAAGTAGGTAGTAGATTAGAGCTACTCATTATAGATCTTCTTTTTGTTTTTGATTGACTCAGGATGCACTTCGACATGTATTTGCAAGTAGAATTGCTGAAATAAAGGACTCACCGCAGTGGAACCGGTTGTCATTTGTTTCATGTCCTTGTAATGGCTTGGTTCTCATGGATGAGTCTTTGCAACTCCTTACTGCTGTTGAAACCCTTGATCTAAGCAGAAACAAGTTTACAAAGGTAGATAATCTCCGAAAGTGTACCAAATTGAAGCATCTGGATCTTGGGTTCAATCACCTAAGAACAATTGCGTTATTTAGTGAGGTAAAACTGACTGAAATTGTGACTACATGCAGTTCTTTCATTATTATGCATTGATTGAATTGAATTTTTAAAGATGTAGAATACCCTGGATATGCATTTTCCCTCTCTTTGTTGCTTATTGTTAATAGTATTTTTATTTAGTAAAGTAATTGAACTGTTAAATATGTACTTCGATGGAGCTATTCATCATTATCATCATCATTGTCAGATTTTAAGTAGTCTGTAATTTATACAGGTCGGTTATCTACTCTTGATCATTTTGTTGATCAATGCCGTGCATGGGGAAAATATTTTAAAGAATAAAAAATATTGTTTTAAGGGACTGAAAATCCATACGAGAAAGGAAAGAAAGAATTCACCCCCAAAAGAACAGTAGAAGTGAAAAGAAAAGAAAGGAAGAACTGCCAGAGGGGGCCTCCTAAGAAAAAGAAAAATTTAAATGTAAAAGCTACATGGCCTGGTTATGTTTATCAAAAAATAAAAACCTAGAACTAGGAAGTTTGCATATAAATTAGCCAATCTTGGAGACCATGAAGACATGCAACCAAGAGATGAGGAACCACCTCTATTCCAAATTTAAATACACAGATGTCCATGATCCACTGCAAGTGCTTTCAATTTATTTTGGGAACATGGAATACTTAATCTTTGTAAGGTCACTAAATGGAAGTCAACGATTCAGGCTTGGATTGGTCTCCGAGTTGAGAATGGAAAGATAATTTCCAATTTTAACATTATAAGGCACTTTCAATACCAATTTATGATACATCTGAAAGAACATTATGAGAGTCTGTTATGATGCCTATTCAAATAAGATTGTGCCTTCCACATGCAGTTTTGGGTGATGCTTAATAGTTGATATTGATACTCCAGTCAGCTCCTTGCAGAAAGATGTCCTGGAGCATATAACAGTTGATTAATCATCATAATTGTCACTGAATCTTTTTTGTAGTTCCCCTCATGAAAAATTTAAATGATAGTCATACAATCACAGTCCTTGGTCATTTTGACACTAGGATTTGGGCCCATCAATGCACAAACCCATGAAGTTCCTTAGTGTTGCTTATAAAATGCTTCGTGTCCAAAACAGTGGCCATTGATGTAGAAAGAAAGAAACAACCGATTTGAGAACAATTTTGTCAAAATGATTAGTACTTTTTATATTCCCTTTATTTTTATATACAGGTACTAAAATACTTTTGTGCCACTCTTCTAACATTCTCTTTGTTGTTACTATTTTTTGAAACAATATTGTTAGCCAAGACATGCCATCATCTCATAAACATTTTCAAACCTCAATGGAGATGCCATCTGGTCATAAAGCGCTTCCTGATTACATCTTCATTAATAAAGTTTTAATCTCACACTCCTTGACCTACAAAAAAATATGTTATCCCTATGGTTACTATTCTTCTAAGAATAAGCTTGAACTCCTTAGATAATTTTCATTTAACAAATTTTCAAAGTTAATTTTCAGTCTTTTTATAATTTGCATGTTTAACTAGAACCCTTAAATCTTCACTTTTGATGCATTCAATATGACTAAAATCTCTAATTTTCTCTTCCTTATTAGCAAGTTCATATATTAACTTCTTATTAACATCTTTTTATCATTTAAAGGCTTCTAGATTTCTAGTTTTTGCCAAACTTGTGACATTCCCATTTTGTTTTTATGATGTTTTGGACCTGTTCATTCCATCACCATATCGTCATAATAACTGTATTCAAAATTATGTTGTTTGACTGAATGACAACCGGTTGAACCAGTGAAACCAATGAATTTCCTCTCTGCTAGATTAATGTTTGGTTTGGTTGTGATAACTATTTCCCTGATGCCTAAAACATGACGCTGTGAATAAGGTCACATTAGCGTCGTATTAACCTAAGATAACAGAAAAGAAGACTCAATTCAAACCTAAAATTAATTGTGCGAGTTCTCAAGCACCCTCCACGTGGAACACCAAATTTTACTTCAGTTATCAACTTATCACATGCATCATATGATAATTTCACCGTTCGGCCATCTCTTACTGGAAGGCCAGTGTGCTCTGAGAACTCAACCCGTGCTGTTCTAATGGCCTTCTGGAGCTCCACCCTGTGCAATTTTTTGACTTCATTAGAGGTCCATCCATCGTAGTTGATTACATATTTCTCTACCACTGGGTCCACCACTCTCCTCTACAAGCAGTCTCTGTCAGAAGCAAAATCTTGTTAACACTCCCCAACAGTGCTTGATCATAACATCCAGATTCTCGATGCCCAAGCCACTCGACTTAAATTAGGAGCACGCCATTTTTGCCAGTCCACTATTGATCCTTGAACTCCTTCAGACTACTTAGACGATGTATAATATGATGCCATTGTTTTAACAACTTGTATATTGAAATGCTACAAGCTCAACTTTTTCTTATTTATCATCTTCTTTTGCCTTTCCACACCAGACTAACATCGAAAGAGAAGCAATTGCCAATTTACATATTTCTTTACGTTCATTAAAAATTGTTGATTCTGCCTTAAATTTTTATATTAGGAATTAGCTTTGGATCCATACATCAAAGTTGTTGGCCTATGCAGGTCTCCTGTCAAATTGTTAAACTTGTTTTGAGGAATAATGCTTTAACTACATTGCGCGGGATAGAGAATTTGAAGTCACTTGAAGGACTTGATCTTTCCTACAATATTATTTCCAACTTTTCAGAACTAGAGATCCTTTCGGACCTTACATCTCTACAAAGCTTGTGGCTAGAAGGAAATCCATTATGTTGCGCGCGATGGTACCGAGCACAAGTTTTCAGCCTTTTCCCTCATCCAGATAATGTGAGTTGTGTATATTATCTCTTTAGTATTTAATTTTCTTATCAAAAGTTGCCTTCGGCTACTATTATCTATTATGATGGATTATCTGAAGAAAGAGTAAAAAAATTGTTTTTCAAGTTTAACACTCCGGGTATATTTTTACATTTTCCTGTCTTCCTGTTGCATGGCCAATTTAGTTGAAATTAGATGAAAAGCATATTCTCACGAGAGAGCTTTTGAAGCGGCAAATTATTATTGCCAGCAGGCATAAACGCCCTGCTAGCTTTGGATTTTACTCACCTGCAAAAGATGTTGCTGATTTAGTAGGGACTATCAACACAAAAAGGGTAGGTGATTTTTGAAGTTAATCAGCATGTTCTGAGTTCCAATATCAAGTTTTGTCCCCTTGTGTATCATGCTTTCTAAAGTGGAATAACTTCAATATTTGCAGTAATTAAATGGAAATTTGAATTTATATATTTTGCAGAAGAAGCTATCTCGTCTTGCTTGTATTGAAAATGAAGAGCAGAGTTCGCATATATGTTCAGACCAAGAGTCAGTTTTATGTGACAATGAGATTCAAAGCAAAGAGGAGAATGCTCTTTCAGATGAGGAAGCTGAAATAGTGGGTTTGATGAATAGAATTGAATTCATGAAAAAGGAACGTTCTATTCTATGGTTGCAGGAGTTTAAGGATTGGATGCATCATAGTTCTGAAGATTTTATGGACAGTAGTAAACATAGCGGGGCGATATTGAATTTTGGTGAAGAAAATTATTCGAAAAACAAGACAAAACAGAAGCATCTTGGCGAGAGCTCAAGATATGTCTCCGACTCTGTTCAAGCTTCTGGCGATGAGAGTAGTACGAATATTTTAGAATCTGATAACTCCTTTGCAGATACGTCTATCAGTTTCAATGCCTATCAATACTACGATCGTGTTGGTGAATCAGCCTCAAAATTCTTCATGGGGCAAACTGGTGGCGGTTCTGTATCCACAGTTGAACGAACAGATCCAAAGCGGGAGCATCTGAAATCTTATTCTAATGAAAGGCACCTGTCTGCGAAGGCTGGAAACTCTAATCTTGATTCTTTTGCGGTCCCAGGTAGTGACAATATGGATGCAAAAAGCAAAGTTGCACCTTTAACTGTCATTGATAATATTATGGAGTCTTATTCATCCTCAGCTTGCCTGGGATCACCTCCCCATTATCAAGAGGACATTCTGCATCGTCGCCAGAACTTAGAGGAAGAATTTCTGCAGCTATCTGCAGAATCTTTTTCTGTTGCATCTTCTGACAGTAATACCAGCTGCAGTGAAGATGATTTCACCAAATTTGGACCATTGATACCTCAAGTTGATCAGTCTCTGATTGAGGAGTTTCCAGAGAAGAATGCAGATGGCCACTCATCTCTGCTCTTTTCCGTGGATTCATACTACAACACAAGGCATGAGAACTCAAATGTAACAGAAAATGGCTCTTGTGCAGAACAAGGCTGTGGTATTCTAAATCTTGTAGAACCAGACAACTCTATGCAGGTGTGTGGCAATGATTTTCCTACTGGTGTTTATGATGGTGAAATAGGACGTTTTGTGAAGCAAGACGCTGATTGGTCAGAGAATAAAAAAAACAAAAGGAAACCCAAAAAAAGAGTAGTTTCACTGTTAGAGGAGACTGGTACAGATGACAGGGCAGAACCATCACAGAGGCTTAATGGTCATCTGGATGTTTGTATAAATGTGGAAGAAGGAAAACAAGTTTCTCATGGCAGTGACTTCCAGATGTCCATTGACGAAAATCGAGCCTGGAGAAGTGCAACCGCAACCTCGCTTACCACCGACTGTGATACAAACCTTTCCGGAACAAAACCCTCATCTTTAGAGACAGTTCCCATTGAGAAAATTTTCAATTCAAATGTTGCAGAAGTTGGAGTTCAAGAGTCTTGCAAGCGGTATATGCGTTGCAGTTGTATACTTGAGCACAAATCCGGGTACAAAGAAAGGTAAATACTTTACAGTTCTCATTGCATATAAGAAAATGAAATTGAAAGTAAGAGGCTTTGTTCAAACTTCTTAAAATGTTGTGTTATGTTATTGTTTTGTAGTTTGCCAATTACACAATTTTGTGTTCATGCATATGTAATCTAGCTTGCTTACTTTGCATTTGAAACTTAGTGTTAATTTATTATTAATTATCTTATGTGTCAGCTTATTCTTTAGTTCATTGTTACAATTGATATGTTCATTCCTGTTATCTATGCATATTGTTGCTAGACATTTCTTCCTTTTCATCCGCTAACATATAACTATTCCAAGTTCCATTGAATTAATGAAAGTATGTTTCACATACTTTCATTTGCAGCTTGTTATTATATCTTGTGGTCTTAATTTTTAGTTCAATTATGTCCCAACTGGATTTTCTTTTTGGAACTTTATTCACCATTCTTGGAATTAGTAACAAATTACGTTCTTGACGGAACTAAAGCAGCTTGTAGCTTTCCTTAACTGGTCAGGAATTCCCTACTTTTCTCATGTCTTTGTTTCTTTTTTTTTGTCCACCTGCAGTGAAGTAGCTTTATTGCTGAGCAGTGAGCGCAAGTTGTACATACTACGCATAGACAATACATATGATGGGTCAGGTTAGGTTTTTTGTGGTATTAACTCTTTGCAGGAGTCATACTTATCATTTGTTCTTTTATGTTGTTTAAATGGAGAGTATCTTTTACTTATTACGTGCTTTATAATTACTGCTCAATCTGTTGTGATTCTGAAGGAACTATCTTAAGACCCATGGGTTGCCACAGAATTGAAGATGTTAGAGAAATTCTTTTCGGTTTGGGGCTTCAGGTTGTGAGGTTAGTTAATTCGATTACTACTACTGCCAATTAGCAGCCTTTTATTATTTCTAAACTGCATCTCATTCTCAGTCTTCTTCTATGGATGTGTTAGGTTGTACATTGATCAGGGTGCAAAATATCTGTTCATAACCAGGAGTATTGAGAAATCAAGGCAATTACTTAGTATATTGCATTTCTTTGATTCATATGAGATGAAGGATAACTGTTCCCTAAGAAGGTGATTTATCTAGTCTCTTCCTCCTTACATTGAGATATGAAATTAATAATAATGTTAACTATCTCAAGAATTGTAATGTATTTCTTCGTATTTTTATTTCCTATTTATAAAGGACTGGGTTTTGAAAATTTAAATGGCAGTTTGGAGCAGGTTCAGGTTGATTTGTTTGAGAGACATATGTGTGGAGGTTCTAAAATGAACCTGTTTCAATATTCAATGGTGCTTTTTAAACGCAACAATATGGAAGGTATGATTATTGTTAATCTTCCATTATATATTTTGGTATTCACTGCAAAAAGAAAAGGAAAAAGAAGAGATGACGGGAGGGACATTTCTTTCCTGCTAAAGGGAAAAGAGAATATCATATGAATCATTTAGAATACAAGGGAAAAAAGAAAAGAAAAGAAAAGAAAGAAGAAAACTTGAAAATGTCTAAAAATTTAGAAAAAACTTGAGAATTATTGGAAGAAAAATATTAGTAATTTGAATTATGGAAAAGTAGTCCAAATAATGATGAAAGTAGTCTATAGCACATGTATACGCTTACTAAAATCTCCATACAAGAATTTGGCAACAAATCTATTGTTGATACAATAATCTGGAAACAAAGAAGTGCAGCTTTACACGAATACTTAGTTGAAACTCACTAGACTTGTTTATTATGTTTCAACCATTTCTCTTAATATAAACATAATCAACAAGTCTCATGAGTTTCAATGATTTTGGTACATGAATTCATTTCACCATTTGGTTTAGTGATCCAATGGCATACACCATCTTACATGAGGTTTGGTACGAAGGACATGCATAAAATGCATGATGGTAATTTTAAAAATATTCTTGCTGCATGTGATTTGGTATTGCCATACAACACCTTGTTTCTATGTGTTCGTTGAAATTGCATTCTTTTTGTTTAATCTTATGTTTACTTAAGTTATAAGTCTGTTAGTTTGATCATTTAGAACCAAATCCTCAAGAGGATAGTTGCTGCCACTGGACCTCTTTTTATAAGTGCTGTCAATTAATCTAGATTCAAAAAGAAAACATGGCATGGAGCTTTGTTATTGACCTATACGTTGCCTTATTGTGATTGGAAGCTCTATTGTTTCTACCAACAATGGCTTAGCCCAGTGGTATCACCTCCTCGTTCCAAGTGGAAGGTCGACAATTCAAGGCCTTAATGGGACAACTATGGGTTGTGTGTGACTTAACGAAAAAAGAAAAAAAAGAACTCTATTGTTTCTACTCCAGTTGTTTGGTCCACCAGCTTCTTCAATTTTTTTTTTTTTTTTTGATTAGTATACCAGCTTCTTAGTTTCTAGAATAGTTCTTAGTTGTATTAGTGATGATGGGGTAAGGATCGGAAGCTTAATGTCACGCCCCGCAACCAAGAGGCTTGGAAAGGTTCAAGTCCGTGACATTAGGCTCTGATATATAGCATTTTGCAAAGTTTGTGATCTAGTCCGGGGGGTGAATAGGTCTTGCTTTAGCGTTACCTAATTTTAACTATTTAAATTATTAATTAATTTGCCTTAATTTCGAATTCAAATTGAAATGAAGTAATAAAATCCAACCAGTCCATTAATTAATTAAAAGCTGTAAAAAGCATGAATAAGATGCCAATATTTTATGTGAAAAACCCAACTTGAAAAAACTAGTCTTAGTCTAGGAAATCGAATCCACTACGAAAAAAAGATTTACACTAGGTATTCCAAACCCCAAAGCCAATTAGTTACCTATTGACATAGACTGATCCACCAGTGTCTTCACTAGAATCTCTGGTCACAGAGTCCGCTCCATCAACTGATTCGCTTCTCCTGCTATCTGCTTCTCCAGCAAGTGATATAATCCAATGATTTGTTATCCAACTCAATCTCTGTTTGAACAAATAATTATTGGTGTCGAACCAATCAAATCAGCTCTGCAATGAATATGTTATTCACACTCATATGACACCAATCTAATGAAATTGATGAATGCTAAAAGAAAATTATGCATGCACTCAATTTTGCTCAAAAAATCTGAGACATAAATGTCTCCATGTATATTACATGTCTAGGATTTGCCATTTGATAGTGTATTATAGACAGATCAGTGTTGTAAAGACAATAGGGTATTAGTGTTAAAAGTTGAAAAGGAAACTGCTTCTCGAACAAACAGATCGATTGCGAGACACGTCGATTGATCGACTTGACTCTAGTAGCCCTTGATCGATACTTATAAAATCTTCAGAAATTTAGTTTACAAAAAAGTTTATATGCATATCAATTACGATTTTCCAAAGTAAATCATGAAATTCCAAAACCTAATGTATGAATGGATGAACCCTAATTTGGTGAGTGCATAGAAGTGTCAATATACCTTTATACCCTTGGTGAAAAAGATTATGCTTCTACCCTTGAATAAAGCTTGAATTCATCTTCGACCATAAACAAAAGGTAACTAACAGGCACTAACAAAATTAAAGACTCAAGTCACTCAAGTTTTGATTCACGAAATATGCCAACCTAAGTCCTATTGACCTAGCAAGTGTTTTAGTATGTACAAGAATAATCCTGCTTCACACATTTTAAAAGCACAAAGTAATGCATAAGGTTCCAGTATACTTGAGCGCTATTTGTTTTAATCAGTTCTGGACTAAAATACTCTTGGCACCTATATTTCGCAATATATGTGTTACATGATTTGTTTATTCTAATCCGTGACTCAATTCAATTCAACTTCCTTCCTTTTGAGTCACACTGTTTGGCAAACCCCCTATAAGGAATCTTAATAAACCTTTGAAAGGTAATCACATGATTCACAGTTGGGAAACGAATAATGTGATTCAATATCGTATTGGGCCTAACAATCTTAAAAACATTTTATTTATTTTTCTCTAAAATGAGCTTCATAAAGCGCATTTGAGGAAATTAAGGATCATAAATATACCATTTGTGACCTCTATTTCCTTTTAAATTTTTGCTAAGCTAAAATGAAAGTAATGATCCTACATGGGATCATTGTGTTTGTATCAATGTTTCTAAATGAGGATAGAATGCCTTGGAAGTGTAATTATTGTGAGTATGATTGTGTGGATGGTGTGATTTGGATGAAGCATCATGTAGTTGGAACTTAAGAAATTGTTTTCAACTGTTTACAAATTTTATAATTCTTAGAAAGTTTCTATGGAAAAGAAATTTAGATGAAATAAGAAGGAAGAATAGAACTACTTGTGATCGGCTTTTTAATTCGATTAAAATCTTAGATCTGTTACATATCAAAAAAAAAAAAAAATCTTGGATCTGTTAAGATGATGAAATTGGATTTATATGGTGTGGGCACACCAATGGTGTAGCCTGTTGGTACTTCCTTGCCTTCTAAAGTAGAAGGTCGAGGGTTCAAGTCCTTGTAGGGGCAAGTGGGTGTGTGATTGTGTTTCTTGCCAATGAAAAAAATATGGTGTGGGCACAAAACATTCATCTCTCTATGTAAAATATTTTTCAAAAAATATATATTTTTTATTTTCTGGTGTTTAGTTGTCTTAAAATATTTACGAAGAAAAAAAATACTAAAAGTTGACTAACATTTGACTAAAATAACTTACTCATTAGTTTTCGACAAGTTATTTTATACGCTTCACCCGATGGACTCGATCTCAACCTCGACCTGGGCCTTTGCAAAACACCAAAATATAAAAATAAGAAAGAATATTTTACCTAAAAAAGGAAAATATTTTTCGAAAAAAATATTTTACTTTGAAACAAACGGAGTCTTAATGTGACTAGAGTTACTTGTTTTCTCCAAAAAGGAAGAAGATAATATTAATATAATTCTGAGTAAAGACAAAATATAATCAAAGAAGACAGTAGATTAATATGGTTAGCACATTACTTATAAAACAACACAAAGCATCAGTTACCCAAAAAAAAAAAAGGCATAACTTAAAAGACCATATTACTTCATTCTAGAATTCTATATTTTTGGTTTCTCTATCTTTACCTACTGTTTATAATTTATCTCCAAAATTGTTTGTGTGCTTCATGATTCATGATGATTTGGAATTTAGGAAAGTAGGATATTGTTCACAATACAAATCCCAATTTGGCAACTATGATTCTAATGTTTATTAATACTAAATTCCATATCCTTTAAATGCTTTTTCTTTTTTTCTTTTTGGGAATCATGGATTCTTCCTGTCTGATAATGATCAGAATTCTCTTATTTTAAATCATCCAGAGGATTTATGGCTTCCAAGGTCGCTATTTGTGCTTCAAGAACATTTGCTCGTGTGCATTGAAGATTTCATGCAGTTTGGCCCTCTTTCCGAGGATGCATCTTCCTCTACGTATTTCTCACTTGATTCATGCTGCTCTATCATTGACTTATACGAGATGGTAATTTTTTTTTCCCTTCACTAAAGCATTTCTTAAAGATTTTGTTCACATCCATGAGAAATTGATATGTATACACTGCATCTTCCACCATTGATAGCTCACAGAAGTTTTTATCTGATTTAGATTCTGGGTTTTCTTTGCTGACGAGTATCGTATGAAGTATTATATTGACTATGTCTACAGCTAAATCATCACTCTTTGCATTCTTAGTTAACAGCCATCTGCCATTAGTCCCCATTGAAATGATTCTCTACTGGATGGTTACAGACTCTTATCGCTTTGATTAATCAGTAACAGGTTTCCTTCCTAGCAAATTGATGCTTATAATGCTCTGCGTTCTGGAACAAAACTTGAAATATTTTCTTCCTTGATTTATTGCTCCATTTCATCAACAAAGAATTATTTTCAACGATTTAGAGGACACATGTTTGGAGAAATTGATCTGTTTGAGTTTCATTTCTTGTTATTTAATGATCTGAATAAATATATACTTCAGGTTGCATCTCCTCTTACATTGCCAAACATTGCCTAATAATAATACCACGGCAATTTACTTCAAATCCAACATCAAAGGTGAACTAAGCAAGCCTATTTTCTCTCTTCTATGACTTCATCAGTACAGGCAGCTGGGAAAATTTCAATTCCAGCAATTTGTTTTTATTTTTCGAAGTACAAGGGTTGGATTTATGTTCAATCCGAGTTAAATTCACAGTTAAGGGAACAAGAAGATATTTCCTATTCCTCTGAAATACATGAGAGAGAAAAATGTAACAACAGAATAGGGTCTGTACAAGTTCGGCTGCCAGCACCGGCGGTGAAAATAATGAAATAATGATGGGAGTGACAGATCCGAATAACACTGACGAACTCAAACCGTGAATCCAATTGAAACCCAAGAAAAATGGGCACAGAAAAGTTAATTGAAATGATTCTCTAGGGTTTGTGGTTAGACGGAATTGAAAATGGAGAAGCATGGAGATGATAGAATAAGAGAAGGGAGCTTTAAACAGTGACAGAAGGGGAAATGCTACGGAGAGAGGACGACAAAGATGTTTATGATCTCTCCTTTGGGCCTACATAGTTTTGGTATATTTCTTTTAAGTGTGTGACGTGGCATCTTTCAAGCCATAGATCTAGGTAAAACAACACATATCAATACCTTGTCAATAAGATAATTTAGACAAATTTTAACTTAAGAGAAATCTGATTTTTTATTCCCAGTTTTTCTATTAATAAATTCATGAAATTCTTGAGCTTACTTTTGAAGTGACCCCGTGATGCATTTTGTTTTCTGCAATAGTCTTTGTTTAAGAAATGATATAGCTGCTCTTGTTGATGCGCACACTCTTCATGTGTCAGCTTGCAAATTACATTTTGCTTGCTTCTCAAAAAAAGAATTATATTTTGTTTGCTAACAGTAAATAAGTCACGGCAAAAAGAATAATGTGGAGAAGTTTCCAAGCTCGTGGAGAACAAGGTTTTTCATTGACCAACATGTAGTAAACACTTACAAATTGAGATCAAAGGAGAACACAATCAAGATTCTAATAATAAATATGGGAGGTACAAAATATATTAAATAATATATTTATGGACTATTAGTTTGTCTTTGACTTCCACTATTCAAATCTTTTTACTTTGACACATGTTTATTATAGCACATGCTGAACTAGTTTGTTACTTTTAAACTACATTTTGCTGCAATGTAAATGTGAAGACTTGTGTCGTTTGATACCTTAGTCATGCCCCAATGTCATAATCTTTTAAGGATTGAACAGGTTTGATGCCTAGATGTGTACTCGCAAGTGAGACACTTTGCAATGAAATGCAAAAACCAGGAGTCTAGCAGCTAAACTGCGGACTTAGAAGACTTCTATAGTTAGCATGGACTGCATAACTTGACAACTTACTGATGTCACAAATGCACAAGTTCCTAGATTCTTGTTGTCTTGAGAATACACCCTAGTAGAGTTCTTAGTGGGTTATGAACTTATGAGTGAAAATCTGCATATGGCTAGTAGCTTGACTCTGCCAATGCTATATCCTGTATCCCTCGTATGAAATCTTTTTGCAGGTTAACATATGAGGCGTACCAGTTGTTTTGGCTGTAGGCAATATCCTTTTTGACCCACGTGCAACAGACATTCTTGTGAATATATTTTCAGAGCTTACACTTTTCTCGTCTGGCTCTCTAGTCTGATTTAGTGAGAAATTGCTGTAGAAAAGCAATCATAATATTCTCTGTCAATTCCATTGCATCTATTTCTGCATTTTCTGTAATACTAGCACAATTGGTGTGATTTCCTATTCTGTTTTTCCTTGTAGATTATTATGGTTGATATTTTCTGTTGAATGTATTCTTTTTTCTTTAAATGTATTTGTTGTGTTTCTGGCATTTCCGGTCAATTTGGTGAAGTATAATATTTCTCCGTTTCAGGTCATTGAAGCTGGGGAGAGTTGGTATGTGACCTTGGCTATTGAATGTGCTACTACGTCAGAGTTCCGTCCTTCAGACATAGGTGGCAAGGTAAAGGATGATGGTGCAACAGTCACTGCAGAAAAGCCTGCTTCAGGCCCTCTGACGTGGAAGCTCAGATGGTTCTCTGAAGATAGTCTGTTCAAGTTTGTTGTATTGTTGAAGGCACTCCACGTAGAAAAGGCAATGTCTCCTTTACTTGTAAGATGTACAGCCTGAATAGCGAATAGCGAATAGCGAAATTTTTTTTTCGTATTTTTTTCCGCATTCATTTCATTCTTTTGATCTGGGCGTCCTTTCTAGTCACATGTTCAGTTTGATTTTCGCTTTAGTGTGGCGAGTCTATAGCTTTCTTTGGTTCTATTCTTTGATTTATATTCTTATAGCAGTTTTTTCTCTCTTGTACAGAGTGTACAGTATAGAACATCAAATGATATGTTAGTTTGCCTTTGCTTTTTGTTTGTTTATTATATAATTAGTTTTTCATTGAAGAATGCACAAGGATGGTAAGATGCTTGTTGGTAATTGTAAATTGTTGATGTGCTTGCTGGTATTGGATTCTCCCACATTAGGTAACCTATGATACATTTCGATTTTGGAGTTCCTTCCCCCCCCCCCCCCCCCCCCCCCGAATAATGAAATTCTCACATTATTGTTCTCGATAGAGTTGATGAACGATAGCACTTTGGGGCAACAGCACAATTCACAGCCCATGAAGATAGTAAAATTGTTCTCAAATTATAGGCTGATGCAATGGTGTAGATTGATAATGTGATTCCTTATGCCTAACCAGAGACAGAAGGATTGGAGCTGAGATTAACATAATCTGCACGTTAAAGGCGTTGCTCGCTCCTTGTGAAATGGTACCGTACCTCTTGGCAAGATGGATATGAAGTAAAAATGGATAATAGAGCAGTACCCGGTACCCTCAATGGTGGCGTAGTACCACAGGACCTTCAAACAGAGGCTTGAATAAATCCAATACCCAATATTGAATGGTTTTCAAGCCGAGTACTAATTTATGAAAATTATTACGTAGCTTTGGGCTCTATCAATCAAGAGACGCAATGCGACTAACTAGTCTCTAGCCTATTCTCGGATTGAGAAGAGGTTTTTTTCTTAATTCATTCATTGTTTCATCGCTTCCACGTGGTTGTGTGAGAACTGCAATTAACCGTCAGTAGAATCTCTCATTTTAGCATCTTGGGACCATAAAGAATCTCTTACTCCACTTCCAGCAATGTAAAACCATTAACATAAAATGAACTCTCATAAACAAACAATACCTGTAACAGTATAACATAATACAACATAGTTCAAAAATTGCCGCACCCGAGTCAGTGGATTAACTTATCTTTGAAGCATGAAAAAGGGACTGGGAACATCTTCCTCAAAAATTTTAAGTACAATATTCCTATAGATTTGCGAAAGTTGTAACATATTCGGAGGGTAAATTATTTCCATGAAACATGTACGAGCCACCATTATCCGAATCAGATTATTGCAGCCAAGGCAAAAAGATAATGGTTGCCAACAAAAAGCGTCACTTTGGCAAGGAAAGCAGCCAGGTAGCGAACTAAGTGGTTCTTTCTTCCAAAGAATCAAATTCTTGCATGTGATCCGAAACGAGAATATGAATCAACAGAAGTATAATCTTTTTTCAGGTAACAAAAGTAAAATCTCCTAGAATGAAAACTTGCTATCTCCGATTCTTTTTTGGACTTAGTCTCTTAAAAGCCATAAATGTTACTGCAGCTGATAGAGAATACCTGGGCAGAATAAAAAATGGTATCAGAAAAAGGCACTGCAAATAAACTTCATGTGATTGTTAAAACCATGATACTGTTGATATAAAAATGTTCACATGCTACTGACGGTTTGCTCTATAACTCTATTCAAGACCAATTGGATTTTCACAAGTATATACTCAAATATAAACCACTTGTACAAGTCAGCACAATAACATGTAAAAATAAATGCATTAGAAAACTACAAACACTAATATGCAAATATCAGTCTTGGAATTCACACTCGTAGCATTCTGACATTAAAATTTCATTGGCATTAATATCAGAACGATGTTTAAGAGAGAAAATTTGTAAGAGTATTACTAGAACAAGATTGATACTAAGGCAAACATTCCTAATAAGATTCATATTTATAGTACTTCAGTGACTATTGGAAAAATTTGACAGTAATGTCTAAAACCCATGATTATATAAAGGGTAAAGTGCAAAAAAAAAAAGCCCCAGTAATATATAGAATGTGCAAACACACACTGGTGTTCAAAAAACCCCCTACATTTTCCAAATTAAGCAAATAAGGGCATTTCGTCAATTTGAAGTCTAAAATACCTAAAATGCCCTTAAGACCAAAAAAAAAAAAAAACACTGATTTTCGTTTTAAGGGTATTTTGGGGTTTTCATTAAAAAAAAAAAGTAAAAAATGACGGTCAACAGATATTAGGGGGCAATTTGCACATATTTCCAAATGTTAGGGATTTATATGCACATATTAAATAGCAGGGGTGTTTTTTGCACACTTTTTTTATATAGCATGGGTTTTTTATGTACTTTACCCTTGTATAAAATTGATGCACACATGAATTCTGTGTAATAAATGGCAATTTACATAGCTTCATTTACTCCCAACACCAGAATAGTCATCCTTTCACCATGACCTGAGTAAACCTACCGCTAAGAAAATGGAAACAAGAAGATTCTCACCATCTACTCTAAAAGCTTAAGCTGTTACAGAAGGTGTAACTTAAATATTTAAATCCTTCAACACGTTAGACGCCCCCTCATTTGTGGCCTTCTTTTGGTCTACCACGTGTTCAATTTTAATTATGAGGGTGACGGTGAGGTTTGAACACAAAATCTTGCCTGCTCTAAAAGCTCAAGCTGTTAGAGAGGGCATAACCATGTTAACCACCATCTACTCTACAAGCTCAAGCTGTTAGAGAGGGCATAACTTTAATAATTATATCCTCTAACAAGGATTTTCGAAGGTGAAAATCCATGTGTTTCATTCAAGTTGTTCCATCCCAAATGTGAAACCCTAAGAAAGACCTGAGTTCCTGTCAAAAGCAATGAAAGTCCAAACTATATGACTACTTAGAATAATACCCAACAATAAGAAATCAGCACAACTTTCTATGGACTTTCTACCATACCATACCATTTTTTTCTTTTTTTCATTCCCCGACAACCCATCAAGTGATAAACTATTTACCATTACCTAAACATAACCTGATTGGATCAAAATTAGCCCAGGAGATATGCCCGGTGGGATCTATTGAAGATAATATTGACATATCTATCTTCAAAGCAACAATTAGCAATATAGCCCAGGAGATATGCCTGGTGGGATCTTTTGATGAATATTATTGACCTATCTATCCTCGAAGCAACCATTAGCAAAATATGAAAACAATATATATATATATATATATATATATATTAAAGAGAGAGAGAGAGAGAGAGAGAGAGAGAGAGAGAGAAAGGGTTGATATCAAAATAGTACAACATCAAGGACTTGATGCACTAATTTTTAATAGCAAATGAAGCTAGAAGCATACCATGTCAATGTATAGTTGAGATGGTCCTGTGGCATCACTGAACTGCGAAAATGAAAGTCCAAACTATATGACTACTTAGAATAATACCCAACAATAAGAAATCAGCACAACTTTAGACTTTCTACCATACCATACCATACCATTTCTTTCTTCTTTTTTTTCATTCCCTGACAACCCATCAAGTGATAAACTATTTACCATTACCTAAACATAACCTGATTGGATCAAAATTAGCCCAGGAGATATGCCTGGTGGGATCTATTGAAGATAATATTTGACTTATCTATCTTCAAAGCAACAATTAGCAAAATAGCATCTGATTGGATCAAAAATAGCCCAGGAGATATGCCTGGTGGGATCTTTTGATGAATAATATTGACCTATCTATCCTCGAAGGAACCATTAGCAAAATATGAAAACAATATATATATATATATTATAAATATAAAAAAAGTGAGAGAAATGATTGATATTAAAATAGTACAACATCAAGGACTCAATGCACCAATTTTTAATAACAAATGAAGCTAGAAGCATACCATGTCAATGTATAATTGAGATGGTCCTGTGGCATCACTGAACTGCGAATCAAGGTATTGGTATCCTTCGGAATAGGGTATGGATTGCTGGGATTGACATTTTCATTGATTGCTTCGATGTAGATAGTATTCTCAGGAAGTCCACAAGTACGAGCAATTGCAGGAACATCAACATAGAACCATTGACAGGAGCTCGGATCATTTGCTGGAACAAATATGCTAGGCTTCTCACTTCCACGGACTACTCCAACAACTTCCACAGGTGTAATAGCAGGAGCTTGAACCTGTAGATTACATGATATTCAAATCCAATACCATACTGAAAGTGAAATGTTTGCATTAACAAATAAATCTGTACTAAAAGAGAACCTCGATAATTTTAGGCTTCTTAGACCAAAACCTCCACCAGGAGCTTCTTTCATTGTCTTGAACTGAGGTGGATGCTGTATTTAATGATTGTTCATCATCTTGTGGAACTTCTGAAAGCTTCTCCCTCCAACTGCGTGGGACCCATCCTCTGTTTACCAGAATTGGCGACTGTGCACTGAAATAAACAGAAAGAATATTAGACACTTCATGTAAATCTCAAAGCATACTCTGGTTACTCCAAGATGAGAGAGAACTATTGTGAAAATCAATACACCTCAAAATACAATATCATCCACAAACACATTATTGGCTTCAATTCCCACTTTAAAATCATAACTTGGTTACTAGAATTACTATAATGAATTGAAATAGATTTTCTTGGTCCCTAATATAATGGAATCGACACATAAATTGGAAGTCTTGAGTTATCGAAATAGAAGTTAAGCGATGATGCTGCCCCATGGATGACTATTGAAACCCCCAAATGTCGTGGAAGGTCTGACCAAAGATTACAGTTCAGCTAACTGTCCTAAAATAATACATTATCTGAAATTCAGAGGCGATAATTGATAGGAGAGTTTGGAGATTTTGTTTGTGCAAAGCACCATTACAATATTAACTTTACAATTTACTATTTTAGTCTCTACGTTGAGTCATACTTTTCTAATCAAGGATATCATTCATAACTGATTTACAAAGAAGTAATATTCTCTCAACAAGTTAAGAGAATGGAAAAGGAACATCAGCTGATACCAAGATGTAATTTTTAATGTATTTCTGTATTAATCATGTGCAATATGGTTTTATGGTACATCTGACTCTCCTGAAACCCTGCAGTGGCGGAGCCTAGTGCACTGCGCCAGTCCAAACCCAATATGGTTTTGTGGTCCTATAGACAAATTAAATAGAAGTAATATAAAAAAAGTTGTGTCGAGTATTGGACAACATCTATTGCATATACTATTGTTGATATTGATTCATTTCTAGTATAAGTAAGGCATATACACCCCTGTAGCCTGCCCACCACAACTGGAGCCTTGCACCACTCCCTTTGAGGGTGGCAAGAGATACCACTCAAACTAACAGCTAGTGGAGTTGTTGATACTGATGCATTTCAGTTGATACAAAACCAACAAGAAATGTAACAAAATATACACGTGATATTTTATATAATTTGATATTTTTGCCTTAGATGAACAAAACATAACAGCGACAACAGGAGACAATAAGAGATTATATTCCCTGCTTCATAAGAATCTTCTCATACTTTTGTTTACCAAAAATTGGGTGAATGAATTATTTACAGACAGATCTTGCAACGTGAATGAGAAATGCATGGTTCTCATACACATTTCAATTGTTCTGCCACACATACCTCTCAGGGTTGTTGTGGATTGGCACAAGAGGTGTAATGACATAATAGCCATTTTCAGTCACTCCTGAAATGCTTCTTGAACGTGGGCCAATATAAATTGACTTCTTCTCGTCAAAAACTCCTTTACACATTACCCTTCTAAATTCTAAAGAATCCAACTTTTCACTCGAATGAACAATGTTGTTGTAGATAATTGGTTCCATTCCCAATCTGTTTTGCCTGTACTCCAGCATTTTTATCTGTACAAACATAAAGACGACAATTAAACAAAATATATTTCAACTAATTTAAACCTGCAAAACGATAAATTAATGAAATAGAGTTGTTATATATACACAGTAAACAAAATATATTTTACCTAATTTAAACTTGCAAAACTCTAAATTATTAAAATAGAGTTGTTATATATACACAGTTCATAATGGAACACAGGTTATTGAGATTGTATTGTAAAATGAAGATCGAGGTTGTATCAACACAAGTGATGCAGGTCATTGGGATTGTATTAGAAAAAGGAAGACCAAGATTACTAGAGGGTGAGACAAAAAAAAAAATGGCAGTAGACACAGACAAAGACAAACCTATATACACGTAGACATATAGTGAGAGAGAATTCAAGAACAAGTGGTTATAGGAGCTCAACCTTTTCTTGTCTTCTGAAGATCTGCCAGGTTCCAAGCCCAAAAGTGAGAGCTCCCGGAACAAAAAGGAACAATTTTGACCATCTTGATCCTCCATGCGTGTCTGATATAAATAATGTATAAAAAAGAAGAAAGAAAAATCAAATAAGATCTGTTTGACATAAGCATCCAACAATTCTCTTACTGAAAAAATCACTCAACAATTCTCTAATATTAAAAGAAATAGCAACTGAAAACAATGTGATCAATCGCATAAGCCTCTAGTCAGCAGATTACAGAAGTACCCAGAAGCATATACATATACACACACACATATATATAGAGAGAGAAGGGGTAGGAGTAGGACCTTGACCTTTAGGTTGAGTAGAGGATGTTGGTGGAGGTTGTGGAGCAGAGGAGATAGCAGGAGAGGCAGAGGTGGAGAAGGAAGACGATGGGGATGGGAACAACTTCAACTTCAAACTTCCATTTCCACGGAGTCTTGTTGTTAGGGTTTTAGAAATGGAAGCTGTGGCCATCTTCACCATGAATCAATCTCACATTTGACAAAGCGGCCCTCAAGTATGTATCAAACTGGTAAGAGGACTGACTAACTCTCTCTCTCTCTCTCCCTCCCTCCCTTCTAGCAGACGAAAATTCAAGGGTTTTCTTTGGAAAATATGAATTTTCTAACTAATGCCTCCCCGATAGGAATTTTACTCCCAAACAACTATTATTTTATAATTTTTATAATATTTCATAAAAGTTTCTTCTTTTTATTTATTTATAAAAAATGCACATTGTTTTTTTTTATAAATAATTAAACTACATGTTAGATCGGGGTAAAAAAAAAATTTGGCCCAAAAAATCTTGAAAGACTGTCAAAATAGCCTTAACACTAATTACTTTATTTGTTACAAAGTAATACTATTTAGACCTATTTATTTGAATATGCAGTGAATAGGTGAATAAGTTTACGTTATTAAGGGATAGGAACTCTTCAGCTGTATAAATAAAGTCTAAAGATCATTTTATTTGTCAAAACTTGATTATGCATTGAGCTTAAATCTCTATTGGTGAGAATACTCTTTCTTCTTTTCTTAGATGCAATGTTCTGAAGGCACTCCTGTTAGGTTTATAATTTTAAAAAATAAAGATATATTTGGTTTGTCATTCAAAAAATAGGGCTCAAATTTTAAAATATAAAAAATGGTATTGTGAATTATAAAATACAATTCTATACAAATTTATAAAACACTGAACTAAACATAGTTCTTGTAACAAAGCAGACCCTAATATTTTGTTTTTTAAAATTAACAGAGAGAAAAACAAGAAAAAAAGCAAAATAAAATCTAATAGGTCGGTGGCTCAATTACAAATACAATTCATAAAATTGGCAAAACCATCCGAAATGATACGTCCCAAACCCAGGCCCAACCAAAAAATGAATTGGGTGGGCTTGTGCAGAACAGTATTACAATCCCAGGCCCGACCGGAAAATGGGTAGGCTTGTGAGAATTAATGCTATTGGGCCAGGTACAGAACATTACAAAAACTGTAGACACATAGTAGTCATCAAACTAGGGCTCGCGTTTTTGCAACCCCCTGTATATATATATATATGTATGCTTACCCATCACTCTGTACCTCCATCAAAGGAGGCGATCATCTTCTTCGTTTTCGTGTTTCAAGTTTATGTGTTTCAAGTTTATGTGTGTATATATGATATGGTGGGGTGTGTGTGTGAAGAATAGTTAGGGTTAGAGAGGAAGGCAATAAGTATGCGTCACTGATGCGCTGAGCCATGTACATGGGATAGCGTATTCAGCCCTTTTCATTGCCGACATAGATATCGAGCATCTTATGCTTGCATTTGCCGTTAAATCCACTAATTTATATACGGCTCGTGCACTAGTATGCTCGTACATTATTTTTCTTCTTTTCTCTCTGTGATCTTTTTTAGATATAATTTATATATCTCTATATACATATATAGAATATACATATATAGACATATGGAATAATGAAAACAAGTGTTCTTTGAAACAACAGAAGATGATAAAATTCATTTCAATTGCCTATCTTTCTCAGGTGTTGATGCTTTCTCCAGATGGGAGGCTTAAAATTTTCTTGGAGGACCAAATCCTTTTATTTGTTCGTCTGAATCCTCCGGACCATATTAATTGTTAATTTTGTTGTTTTTAACTTTTTATTGTTTTTTTCTCAAATTATTGTCATTTAAACTTTTAGATATATAAAACAAGTTAAAAGGAATGATTACCATTGATTACAGATTGGTTCAAATTTAAAATTTTATTAACAGTTAAAAATAATAATATTAGGTTATTTGTAAGATATGTAATTCAATTGGTTAAATGGTTTAATCTGATCCGATTTGTTTTACAAGTAAGGTCGAATGTCTAATTCGTTGTTACTAAGATAATTATGAAAGTATTGCATTTAAGTTGCTTAATATTTTTAAAATTTGCAATTATAGTAATTTAAAATACTTGAAAAAGAAAAATTGACAACTAATATGGGAAGTAAATTTATTTTTTTAACTTCGTATGGATCATTCTGGAAAATTTATAATAATAACAATGATGATGTGGTTAAATTTATGAAATTTGTCAAAGATAATTATGAAAGTATTGCATTTAAGTTGCTTAATATTTTTAAAATTTGCAATTATAGTAATTTAAAATACTTGAAAAAGAAAAATTGACAACTAATATGGGGGAGTAAATTTATTTTTTTAACTTCGTATGGATCATTCTAGAAAATTTATAATAATAACAATGATGATGCGGTTAAATATATGAATTTTGTCAAAGATGTAAAAAGGATCCGTCAAGATATATGCATTTTTTTTTTAATTTATTTATTTAGTGTTTTAACTTTTAACAATGACTTTTAAATAACTGAAAATAAAAAATTTACAAAATATATTTCTTTGTCACAAAATAGTTTTCCAGACAAATATATAAAAATTGAACCAGTCATGTTTTAAATTTCTAAGTTTTTACAGACCATATAAATTTTTTTGGGAACGTACTCAAGTAGGTTTGTAAAAATTTTGTGTAATCCAAACATAAGATTGATTATTATTAGAGAATATATTTATATAAAACAATAGCTGAAACTAAAAATAAATAATTCAAAAATTGTGTAAATTTATCTTGACACATTAAATTTACAAAAAATTATATATACACAACTTTTAAAAATGCTCTAAGGATCCAAATGATTACAATTAGGTTATTAACATTATTGGAAACTAATTAAAAATAATAATTTTTTAATATAAAAAATGTAATTTTTTTTGTATGCCACCCGGTATCTTGTTTTTTTGGGGTCTGTTGTACCCGTATTCATACCCGTGCTTCCTTGGACACCACTTTACCAATGCTATCAAAACTGGAATGGAAATTTGAAAGCCCCTTACAGTTGGCCACAGCTGACAACCTCAAACTGAAGGGATTGAAAGGAGTTGTCTTTCTGAATGCATTGTACACAAAGGTCATAAGCAGTAAAGAAACAAAAGCTACTAAAAACAAAGCTAAAGCTCGTTCCATATTTTTAATAAGATGTTACAATGGTTTTAAAAGAAAATTAAAGAGAAAATGTCTAACTATTGTCAGTGACGTCCATTTATTTGCCAAAGAAAACCCCATTTACAACATCAACAGGCAAAGCATACGCTGGATCGATAGCTTTCAAACCCGGATATTCAAGAAGTGAAAGACCTGCATATAAACCAAGCAAGAAAACTTTGATTTGATTCAGCAGCAGCAGAAAATCATATGGAAAACACAAGCCTGAAAGAAAGGGAGGTTGTAAAGAAGGCTTTGATTTGATTCAGCAGCAGCAGAAAATCATATGGAAAACACGAGCCTGAAAGAAAGGGAGGTTGTAAAGAAGGCTGCCTGCTATGCAACTACGAATCCATCCACTGTGAGGAGGGGGTGCTGGATTGCACCATCAATTTGGACACAAACTAGAAAACTAGCACGCATAAAGAAAAGAACACTAGCAAGAGAAACCCCCATCAATCCCACCAAGCATTATAAAAGAAAAAAAAAAAAAAAAAAATGAAAGAAAAAAAAAAGATGAAGGTAAACTTGAAGCTTAAATGGAAATCTTGAAGATATCTAAATTCCTAACCTCAAACTTCCAATCAACAAAAAATGCAATTTATCCAATGTTTTTCCAATGCCAGGTGTTTGTACAAGCTTAAAGTCCATCATTATTTGCACCCAGTGCCTGACTTAAGCTCAAATCCATGTTCTTCTACTTGGTAGTCACATTTTTTTACCTAACCAAACTTGGCCTTAAAACTTCTAATCACCCAACCCAACCTAAAAGGAACTAAAAAAACATTGCAATTCTAGTCTACAATCTTAATTTCCAACCTACAATTTCCATAAAAACATAGCTCCTGCAAAACCCTACACATATGATGGGGAATATGAACTTATCCAATCTCATATTTAATGTGAGCCATTGTCATAATTTACAAGCATCATGGCATGCCAAATTCTTTGAAGGAAAGCAAGAAGACAAGAAGGAAAATTTTATAGGACAAAAATGACATCAACTAGTAAAGTGTTGCATACCAGCAACTCCAAAATATGTGTGGTATACATCAACAGCATCCTCTGGCCTGTCTGAAATTCCTCCATTCTCTTTATCCTGCAATTTTTTTTCCTTGACTAAATAACTTATAGTGGAATCTCAGATAAAAGCGTAGATGCTTTAAAATAGAACTCCAGAAGCAAGGAAAGAAGTGCTCATCACAGAATTTCTACATATAAATATGAGAGTGAAATAGCCCATTCAGATTAGAAAAACCTGACAGTCCAAGATAAACCTAACAAGCTTTTCCTTGTCAATCCAATGAACTCTGTCAATCATAATCAAGCTAGAAAGAACCCACCACGAGTAGCACACCTGAAACAATGCAAGAACACAATAGGATAATTAGTGAAGAGAAATTACAAGAAAACCTAGCATAATCTCAGTTTGGGAGAGAATAACGCACATCAGGAAGCTTCTCAGGACGCCCATTTAGACCTCCAGATTTAACTTGACGCTCACATAACCACCACCCAAGAAGGTCCTTGTCAATATGATGCAGAGAACCGGTTATAGCAAGAGCACCGACACAACAAAAAACTGCAGTCACAATGGTCATACCATATTAGTGCTTCTTTTGAGTCTAATTTGGATGTCAAAGCACGAAAATCAATCTAATAGATTCTGGTCGTCAAGTGTGAGAATGCTGATGCTGGTTTAAGCCTGAAGACAGCCACTTTGTGAAAATAATGGCGTAGATTAGGTCTGTGCCCAATGTGTTTAATCCAACATCATTGATTACGAGGGCCACATTGGATAATGCCTTTTCTTTTTATTCAACAGAGTAATCAACTTAATCGCCTAAAAGATCAGACCTTACTAGACTGTTGTTTATTGTCCAGTTCTTCAGTAGATTGTTACCAAAATTTTGCGGGTAACATGAAAATAAAAAATAAAAAACAACAACAATAGAATCTGGTTCCAGGTCTGGGTAAGGATTAAGCCTGTTAAATACATCTTGGTCTTTACTAGTTGGATCAAACAATTATTGAAAATTCTTTCAATCTCTGTCATACAACATTTTGGAATGCAATAAAATCATCGTGTTGGCCAACTTCGACTTATCTTTCAATTGTAGGTTTCAAGTTTTCATGACTGCTGATCATTTTTCTAACAGGACAGTTTGCTATTTTTACTAATTATGTTTTGTTTTGTTTTTTTTTTTTTGGGTCTGGGTAAGTTAGAATTTATTAAAAAAGAGGAAATCACAGATACAACTGGCATACCACAGGACAATAAAAAAAAGAACCAACAGCAACGACGGTCCCAGTCTTCATCAAATCAGAAACCAAACTGAAAACTAAAGCAACAAATCCCACCCAAACTAAATTGAGAATTGTAGACAAACACAGTAACTGGAAATTTGAAATTTGCATAGATTTGCTGAAGACTGAAAAAATGTTTCTTGTTTCTGTTTCTATAGTTGTGGCTAATGCAATTTGAATGATTCATGCAAACCATGCAGAATCACCCATCAAAGATAGAGAGACTGGCTCTCATGTTGAGTGACCATCTGGGTGTATGTCTTTTGTGGATGCATATTATCTCACTATTTCCTGTAAGAATTGCTACATGCATATATGGTGATTTCAACAGAGTAGGAAGTGTATGTGGTGATTTCAACAGACTAAGGAGTGTAACCATTACTAGTTGCTTGAAATTTCTGTGTACTCCAAAAATTGCTTCATTGTGGGAGGAAACTCTTTGATACAGAACATGCTAATAAGAAAGGAAGTAGACTTGAAATTTCATACGGTGCTCGATCTTGATCTCTTCAAATGAAGTTCATGTTTAGTTTGAGTGCTATATTATGTTAAGTTATTTATAAAGCTTTATTGACATTTCATTATGACTAGAAATAATATAGGTTTTCAGGTAATATCTAAATTTGTTGCATGTGGGTTGGAATGGTGGTCCACTCCAGATATTTTAGACTCAATATGCACTCCACAATCAGTGTACTGGTAGTGTAATGGTTCCCATAAAATCATAGTTCCATATTGGGTCTATAACCATTAATAGAAAGAAAAGTTGTCATTTATTTCCAAGGATTGCTAAAATATAGTTCAAAATTATGAATTCATAAATTTAAGTTGTTCTTTCATCAGCCAGCAACAGAAGAGGTTCATAGGTTCATAGCTTCATGAATGCCTAGCACGATATGTCCTAGATGTAGAAGTTCAATAAAAGAACAATTTCGGCCTTTTAACGGGCCAAGTCATGTAAAAATTAGAATAAAATATTAAAAATCAAATAACCTCATTGGTCATACTATGTGTACATATGCAAAATGAAAACAAACATCTGGTATTGCGATCACATATGAAAACCCATGTGGTATGTTATTTTAGAAGTTGGGTGCTGCATTGTCTCTACAAGTCTTGTTTAATATTTATCCAAGCCTTTCCTAAGAATATGAATAAGTACTCCAATTTTTAACTATATTTTCACTTTGAGAGGTGTGATATTTAGGAGAAAGGTTAAAAACAATCATTACTTATAAGACCAGTTATCTGCTAATCTAAAAGGCTTAGATGTCATACAGGAACATGGAGTGCTATTGCTAGCGGATAACTTTGAAGTTTGAACTTAGGTCAATTTGATGAATATGCAATACAGTTAATTAGGTTGCCTTACTAGGTATTTGGAGATGTTTTTAGTTGAAATTGCACGCTGATATAGCAGATTTGGTGCATTCATTAGTGCCAAATGAAGTGGAAAGAATATGAAAATTTTAGTTTTGCACTATATCAAAAATCATGAGAATATCGCGTATGAAAATTAAATTAACACGTGCAACATACTTTGTCCCGCATGAGACTCCCCACCAGGTGTGCATCCAAATCCACCATCCAAATTTTTGCAACTCACAATGTACTTTACAGCTTTTTCCACATCGATTTTATCCAATCGATTTAGCAGAGCAAGAGAACATATTGCAAGATAAGAGAACCTAAAGAAAAACCGGTTTGGTATTAACTTACAATGTTTCCTCAACAATAGATTATAACTTGAAGGAAACAAAAGGATTCAGAAATAACAATGAAGCAGGAGAAAAAAGAATACCGTGTGTCAACTTCACCCCACATGTCACCTGAAAAGGATCCATCTTCATTTTGCAGCCCAGCAATATCTGGTTTAACGATCAAGTTTAACAAGAACAAACCGAGGTACAATATTCTTAAATTTAAAGGATAGTTTGAACAGTCAATTTTATCGATATTGGAACTTTAGCAGAAGGTAGAAATTCTACAAATTGTTGTAAACATGGTCATAAAAATATAGATTAAGCATGTTGGAACAATTTCAAAACCCAAAAGCTACATGCTGATGGATACAGTTTGACACCCTATCGATGTCAAGTACATTTATCTTGTCAAAAAGGGCTAAAACTTGCACGGCACTAAGGGTATACAGCAGATGTGGGTCATGTCCGATGTTACCACCAAAACCACCTGCATAAGCAAATATATCATTATATAATTTAAATTCTACGGCATAAAAAGGCATTACTGCATGAATTTCAGCTTAATTTTTAGAGAAAAATGAAAAGGTAGAAGGGCATCACAATTCACACAATGAATCCACACAATGACAAGCCTAGTATTAAATTAAGTTAGTATCATCACAAACCGGAATCGTGTTGGCACTTGAGGACCCATGATACAACCTCCTCTGAATCAACAGATTCTAGCTTCCCTAAAAGATCCAGAGTGGTCAACCCCCAGTATGCCCCATTTAATCTTATATGCTCCATCACCACAGATTCAAAATTATCCTTCTTCTGAGGACAAAATTTCCAAAATTAATTTGAACATCGGAAAACAATTCAATTCAGTGAATACAAACAAAGAGTACTCTTCAATACATACCTTTTCAACTGATATAATGTATTTAGTATGCTTCTCAACTTCTAGCTCCCCCATTCTGTAATGGATTCAGCACATTAGGCTTGACATTCTCACAAAAGAAAAACATTTGAAAGACCTAAACAACTTGTTGACATTCTTAGGTAGGAAAACCTAGTCGTTCTGTGTTTGATATCATTATATGATTCGATTAAGTCTCTTTACTCAACAGACTTCAAGAATATCAGTACTAATTTGAATAAGAAGTGAAATCATACGACACAAACACAACATATGAATCCAGTAGGGTTTTAGTCCACATGAATTGCATCAATTATGTGCGGATAATCTGGAGATACCCAGAAAAAAGAAAATGCATACATACATACATACATACATATATATATATATATATATAGAAACACATAAAATGTATGCAGACCTGGATTTCAAATCCGAAGAAACAGTTGTGAATTGCAGAGATCCAAGTTGTTTTCCGAGCGATTGAAGGAATACCCAGAAAATTTTTGACAGCTTTTACAGGAGAAAATATATTGAAGTACTAGCAAAATCTGGCTTACTTCTTGTTTTTCCGTTTCGAATCGTAGAATTCAGCCACCAAGCAGAAGCATCGATTTGTAAAGGGTAAACTACAATGACGGCCTAATTACAAATAAACTAAAAGACACTCTTTGTCAGATTTGGTTATGAATTTATTTATATACCCTTATTATTATATTATTAAAAATAAATAAAATATCTAAGAATAGAAAATGACCCTTTTGCCCACTAATATTTACCTAATAAAATATTTCCATTTTTTTTTTTTTCTTTTTTCCACCATTCCTCTCCCCTCTCCATCACATCCAACAGGTCATCAATTCATTTTTAGTCTCCAAACAAGACACCACCCACCTCCTCCTGTACGTAGAATCATACTCGTATTATATATGTGTGTGTCGAATCTAGGATTTCTCAATGGTGTGGGCTAATATTAAACATAAATTTAATAACAAAAATTTTTAAGCGAAAAAAAAAAAAGGTTGTCTAACCTCATCCATTTGATTTGCCGGGTATTCATGTATTTGAATACGTAACCCAGGCTCTCTTTCAATAGAAGTGGAGTGAAGTTGATTGGGTTCAACAACTTGAGGTAGGGCAGGAGGTTGCAAATCAAGATCACTAGGTATATCCGGTGTTGTTAAAGGCGCGCCTAGTCTCGAGGCTCAGGTTTAGCGCCTCGGTTGCACCTCGTCCTATTTGTGAGACGCGCCTCACTGATATTTGTTTAAAAAAATACAATTGTTCTATTTCTTAAGCCAAAAAGGGTACTTTTGGCAACTTAATAAACAAAAAAGAAAGCCCAAGCATACGATAGAAGTTACTTTTGTTCAAAAGAATTAAAAAATAAGAAAGCCCAAGAGTCAAAGTGTTAACCGAACATAGAATGAGATTGTGAGACGAAGACGAAGCCCTAGTTGCAAAAATGAACGACGAAGCCACATCAGTTCTTTCTTTCTTTCTTTTTTTCTCTCCTACTCTAGATCTCTCCTCTCTTCTTATCTTTGTTTACATCTTTCTCTTCGTCTAGTTCTCTTCTCTCTGTGTCTTTTCTTTTCTTTTTCTTTTTTTTCTTTTTTTTTTTTTTTTTGTTAACAGATTTATTTCTTTTTATGCTTTGTTTTGCCATTCAAAAAAACACATTTTGCTTTGCCTTTCAAGAAAACAAATGTGTGCTCTGTTTTATGGTTGTTGAATGCTTGTATAGTTGATGGATTTACTTTTTTATACTTGATATTAATTTTTTAGAATATTGATATGACTTATGAGATATGAATGTTATTATGGTAGTTTAAATTTTCAATTGTGCGCCTCACTTCACTCAGGTGTGCGTCTAGGCTCCAAATGACCTCTAGCGCCTTGTGCCTTTAATAACACTGGGTATATCCTTTTTCAATTGATCATCGTCAATGTTAGATGCACTACCACTGGGTATATCCTTTTTTGATTGACCATCGTCATTCATTTAGCCTCTCTTTTGATGAATGAGACAATAGACATACTTTCCACTTTCTTGTTTGAAGGTTGATATTGAGCCATTATTATTTTTAACCTAATAAAATTAAAGAATGAGTTAGATTAAAAATACCTAAATCAAAATATATCAACCAAAACCAACTCTTGTTTAATTCAATTTTAGTTAATTAACAATGTTTCTTTAGACAATTGACTGATTAAGGCATAGAAAATCCTATTTGGGTAATTAATAAAAAAAAATTACCAATTTATTTCTGACCAATTCACCACTCAGTATCCTATCTCTTCTTTTGACCAATTTACTAATCCTATTTGAGAATCTACGAGTGGAAGCAGAGTGTGAGGTAGTTCATGGCAAGCCCCTTCCAACACTAGGGAATTCACTCAAAAGCATGCTTTTTATAAGTGTTTTAATTTTCAAGAAGTAACTTTAGAGCTTTACCCTATATTAAGTAATTTTGTTGTTTATATATTAACAAATTTTGTTACTTTATATTGTACTTTGTTTCATATACAATTGGGTGGCCATATTAATTGACAGATTTATACTTTATGTGGTTAACATCCAATTTATTATTAGCATGAAAAAATCTGGAATAATATATATATATATATATTGAATAATTGAAGAAATGACTTACCTTGAATATCAATTGATCCAATTTGTTGTGCTTTATACTTAGAGTCTGAAGTGATGAAAGCACTCTAAAAGATGGTAGGACCGTAGGATGCTGTAATTGTAAAAATTATAATCCACGATAAGGGCCTTCAGCTTGTTCAAGACTCAAGTTCAACCCAATTTACCAATTAGTCTTTCAAATCCTGCAGAGGGAGATCCTGTTTCAGTCATTATCTTCACAAATATTTATAACTAAAATTCATAAAATAAAATAAAAATTATATAAAAAAGACCATAAAAAATTTCACCAAATAGGATTTAGTTTGCAAAACAAGAATTACAGACCTTGATTAGTTGAAAAAAATTTAAAACAAAACCCATACATACAAGATCGCAGTTGCAGGAAGAGAGAGGGGCCAGCTTGAGAGTTGAGAGACAACGGGCCAGGCTGGCCAGCGGCTGAAGCTTGCGAACGGCGAACCCGAACTGGAACAGCGGGCGATGGAAACTGAAAGATATGGGTTTTGATTTTTTGAACAATCTGAAATGATATGCCGATATGGGTTTTGAACTTTTGATTCTTGCAGACAGATAGATAAACTCAAATATATCTAGGGTTTTGAACTTCTGATTCTTGTAGATTTTGTAGTTTGCAGTTGCAGAGAGAGAGAGAGAGCGAGAAGAGAGGGGGCAAGATCAGAGTTGAGAGCGAGAATAGAGAGGGAGGCGATTGGGGAGGCTGAAATGATTGGGTCGGGGCCGGCCCTGGGCTTATTTGGCTTGGGCCTTTATTTTAGTATGGTGGCTGAGTTGACTTGGACTTGATTGGGTGGGTTAATTTTGGGGTGGGCTAACATTATTACTAATTTATTTTTTGGGCTGGTCTAAAATTAGTGTAGTAAAAAAAAAAATTTGGGTGGGCTTATCATGAAATCCGATCTATCCTATAAGAAAGAAGAATAAAAATATAAAAAGTTAGTCAAAATAAAATCAAGCTTAACAACATTTGGGAAAGATCCACATATATGAATCAAAATCTAATGAATGTAATTTTATTTGGATTCCATTTTTATTTTGATAATGGGCTAAAGAATTATAAATGAAATGATTTGAATCCAAACTTAATATATATATATATGAGTCTTGATCTCTTGCTCCTATGGAGTAAGAAAATTAATTCATAATTTTTATATAGACCATGTAACGGTCATTTTTCAAACACACCAATATCCTTTCCTTTTAACACAAAACCACTCTTACCCTATTGAAAGAAAGATAATATCAGTATATATTACTAAAATTTGTTTTTTTAGATGTTTCTTTAAAAGAAAAATAATACATATTTATTACAGGTTTCTTTTAATTTTGCAATCAAACTTAAACAGAATACAGTAGTATAAGATTAGAGCATCTTTTGTCATGCTTATTGTATATTTCAGTGTTCAATAGTATGTGGACTTTTTTGCATTAGCACATACTAAAATTCAAATAAATATATTTGTCCAATATATAAGTAAATTTACAAACAAATATAGTTTCTGGAATATTGAATTGATATATTGGAATTGAAATTGGAGAAATTTTCATTTAAAGTTTGAACAAAATTTCTTTCTATTTCAATTTTAAGATGTCTCAATGTTCTCAAACTAGCTCAACTAGATTTTGAGGAGTTGCGTTTGGCAAAAATTCTCTTGTTGAATTTGTAGGCACTTGTGTTCAAAGATATAAAAATTGGATAATGCAATAGCAAAGATTTTTCTATTTTTATTTTGGTAATTACCTTTTATTTCTACAATAGGTGGTAATGATAAAAATAAATATGAAAACTAAAAATAGAGTGAGAGTTGTTTTGTGTTAAAAAGAAATAACATAGGTGGGTTTGGAAAATGACCATTAGATTTAATCTAACACTTCATATAAAAAGTGTGGATTAATTTTCTTACTCCATGGGAAGCAAGAGATCAGAACTCATATATATATATATATATATATATATATATATATATGGATTAAACCTTTTAAATGTAAAATTGTGCAATACAATTGGACATTTAAGTTAATGAATTTGTTCACAAACCTAACAAGCCGAGCTCAAATTCAATGTTGTTTAACTATTCAAGTTTGACTTGTTTACTAAACGAGTTTGATTTTCAAACTCCAGCTTCGCTTATTTATTAAGTGAATGAGTCTGAACCGAACTTTTAACATCCAAACCTTAATAAACAGTTTGTTTCATTTACAGTTGTAGAGGATGAGTGATTTATTTGCAATCTTAGAGAGTGTATTAGGATGAGTGATACAGTCCACATACCTAAATCCTATTGCATACCGTATGTTGGTACCTATGCATTATTTTAAGTAATTCTATGTCCCTTAATAATATATTATATTTAGAAATTATACTCCTACGTAAAAGAAACGTTAACTAGAAAATACCTAAATCAACTTTACATATTTTATGAAACTGACACACCCGTAAAAAATAATAATAATAATTTTTTTTCCAATTATGTTATAGCAAAAATAAAATTTACATTATTTTTATTTAGTTGTTCAACCAACATCGAGTTACATGCAGGGAGAAACTTGCGTTGTCCGATTTAGTACTATTTTTCCCAAACCAGTGTCACCGTGCTTTATGATTTGACTTTTGAACCGGCACTGTAACTTATGCCAGGTTCATTTGAGTCGTTCATCAGCAAGACAAGTGACAACAACTACAACTTTTTCCACACACATTTACAGCTCTATAATGAATTAAGGGCATGTTAGGGTGGGTTTAAAAATCATTTTATTTTAACCAAGTTGTCTGTAATGCGCACAGCACATATGAAACAAATGGTGCAGGACACATTGCGGCATAATCAAAGCAAACCAACGACAAACCCAAAGTACTAATCACCAAAAATAAATAATTTTATGAGACTTGCCGCCCAAATATCTCTATACTCTTCTACCTTGTCCACCTTCACCTTCACAACCCTCCAAAATTGTTCTTTCATTTTAACCGACCCTTTTTTGTCTACACACCCTTTCCTCTACTCCTTTTTATATCCTTCCATTGCTTAGGTATCTCTGAACCTGGTCATTGATGATTAGGTGCAAAAGGAGAACAAACTAGTCAAAAAGTGGTCTTTGATACAATAACAATGGCGAGGTATGGCCGGAAAGACACGAACAAGAGCCTCGAGAGCTTACTGGACATGGACATATCCGTGCAGGTCACCAAAAATGCCATCCCAAGGCAGCAAACCCGGAAATTGATTCCGGGACAGGGCCTTGAATTCAACAACCTTTGCTACAGTGTCATGAAGAAGCAGAAGAAGGACGGTGTTTGGATAACTAAGGAAGTTGATCTTCTCAATGCAATATCCGGGCAGGCCTTGAGAGGTGAAGTCATGGCCATCCTGGGACCTAGTGGTGCCGGCAAGTCCACGTTTCTTGACGCCTTGGCTGGTCGCATTGCACAGGGGAGTCTTCAAGGATCTGTTAGAATTGATGGAAAGCCAGTAATATTTACTTTCTTTCTAGCTCAAACATATTTATTGTGTAGCATGTATATGTATTCAATTAATGTTTGATGTTTTGTAAGAAAATAATTGTTGTGTGTGCAGGTGACAACTAGCTACATGAAGATGATTTCATCTTATGTGATGCAAGATGATCAGCTCTTCCCCATGCTCACAGTCTTTGAGACCTTCCTGTTTGCAGCTGAGGTTAGGCTCCCACCTTCCATTTCCAGGTCTGAGAAGAAAAAAAGAGTGTTTCAGCTCCTTGAACAGCTGGGCTTACAGGTATATATACACATATACAAGACTGTCCCCACACACACGCACACACACACAGATATATATAGAATTAGAAGTTTGATGATACTAATTGTGGCTTTGTAGAGTGCAACACATACATATATTGGTGATGAGGGGAGGAGAGGAGTGTCAGGAGGTGAGCGGAGGAGAGTGTCCATAGGGGTTGACATAATCCATAAGCCATCGCTGCTGTTTCTGGACGAACCCACCTCAGGACTAGACTCTACCAGCGCTTACAGTGTCGTGGAGAAGGTGAAGGACATCGCTAGAAGTGGTAGCATCGTCCTCATGACCATCCACCAGCCTTCCTTCAGAATCCAAATGCTCCTGGATCGCATCACTATCCTCGCAAGGTACCAATTACCTCAATTTTGTTTTCAAGGATTCGCTATATCTACGAGGGTTGCTAGTCACACTCGCGACTCAGCCAAAAATAAACCAGAATCTAAATTTATGATATTGTGATTAGCTATGAAGATTGTTGGATGTTGTGAGCCTCACAACAGCCAATGAACAACAATAGCCCAGACCTTACAGTATTATTGTTATCATCATAGTACTCTGTATCAACCAGTCCAGTTTGAGGTAAATAAGCTCGTGTATAGACACAGCATGATTTTAATTAGACTTGCAGCTGATGAAACAATGGGATGTGGTTGCAGGGGAAGACTGGTATATTTAGGAAGCCCAGCTGCTCTTCCTGCTCACCTCTCTGGGTTCGGACGGCCAGTTCCAGATGGCGAGAACAGCCTAGAGTACCTCCTTGATGTGATCAAGGAGTACGATGAATCCACCGTAGGACTTGACCCCCTCGTGCTGTACCAGTGTGACGGCATCAAACCTGATCAAGTTGCCAGGACACCTATCCCAAAACCGCCAAAAACACCACGCACTCCTTATGGGAGGACTCCCAATGGGAGGACCCCCAACCACATTAGCCTTCGGAGTCATCAGTTCTCTATTGGAAATAAGACGCCTTCTGGGCAATCAGATTACAATGATGAGAGGGATGATGATGATGATTTTGACAATTCCCTGGAGCGTAAAGCTGTCCAGACACCTATGCATATGCAGCATAGTGGAGTCTATCCGCGCTTGGCTTCTCATTTCTACAAAGATTTTTCGGTTTGGCTCTACCATGGTGTCACTGGAACCCCGCGTCGAGCACCATCATGGACTCCTGCAAGAACTCCAGGACAGACACCCGCGAAGACACCCATGTCCGCTGCACGAAGTCATATTTCAAACCGATACCCAACGCCTCACCAAACCCCTATGAACAGGAAGACTCCAGTCTTCAGTCCCTTAGAAGAATCATACACTCCTTATGAAGACTTGGAAATGGAGGAAGTGCTTGACGAGCCAGACCACGGATCCAAATTTGCAAATCCTTGGCTCCGGGAGGTTGCAGTCCTCTCGTGGCGCACTGGGCTGAATGTAGTTCGCACTCCCGAACTCTTCCTCTCCCGTGAGATTGTCTTGGCAGTCATGGCCCTCATTCTATCCTCCCTCTTCAAAAATTTATCCAAACAGGATTTCATAACCATCAATAGGCTTCTGAATTTCTACATATTCGCAGTTTGCCTCGTCTTCTTTTCCTCCAATGATGCCGTCCCCACTTTCATCCAAGAGCGATTCATCTTCATCCGAGAGACCTCCCACAACGCTTATCGAGCCTCCTCTTATGTCATCTCCTCCCTCATTGTCTACCTCCCATTTTTCGCTGTTCAAGGTTTCACATTTGCAGCGATCACCAAGTACATACTCCATCTCAGAGCCAGTGTCATCTACTTCTGGTTGATCCTTTATGCCTCGCTCGTGACTACTAACGCTTACGTGATGCTCGTTAGCGCACTTGTTCCAAGCTACATCACCGGTTATGCTATCGTGATTGCCACTACTGCTCTCTTCTTCCTGACATGTGGGTTCTTCTTGAAGCGGCTTCAGATACCTCCATACTGGAGGTGGCTGCATTACGTCTCTGCAATCACATACCCATTTGAGGCATTGCTAACAAACGAGTTCAAAGGCGAAACCTGCTATACTGGTACAGCATCGGATCTTTCGCCCGGTCCCATGGGAAACGTGACCTTGAGCAAGCTGCACCTATCGCGTCCAGATCTGATGATACCGAAGTGCATGCTGATAGGGGAAGATGTTCTGACCTCCATGGATGTTCAGTACTCAATCTGGAAAGACATTGGCATATTACTGGCTTGGGGAGTTCTTTATCGTGTCTTGTTCTACGTGGTTCTTAGATTTTATTCCAAGAATGAGAGGAAATGAAGTTTGTATCTGCTCCATCTAATTTCTGTATTCCATGTCCCCTTAATTTTGAGACTACTACACAATTCATAAATTATATCAGAATTTATTATTTCTCTCTTTCTTTTTTCTTTTGGAAAAAGAACTTATGGAACAAGGGAGCTCTGTTCGGATGGCGAAGACTCAACCCAAGAAATATATAACTTTAGAGGCGCTGTGTGGGCGGCGCCAGCACCAAACTAGCAGCAGATTCAACTAAAGACGGTAAAAGTACGATCAACAAAACCTAAACTCTGAGAGGTCCCAAATGGACCTCCACCTCGAAAGCCTCAATCAATCCCCAAAAGAAATGCATTTTCTATAATTTGCTTTTTTGTGAACTTCTCGTGCCCTTCATCAGGTATTTATATAGAAACAATGCAGTGAACAGATGTCATCAGAAGTGCAAAATAAAGGAGCAACTCAAATCACACCTTGGCTCAGGCAATGCACCTAGTAGATCAAGCAAACATTTCAACATAGTTATTACCATTTGTTAAAACCTCAGCAATGTAGCTCTGTTGTTTACATAAGATGCTCCAAATGGCAATTTAAATCTTGAACCTGACACCTTAGCTAAAATCAAAAAGTAATTTTCTGCAATTAAGGTTCGGTGTAAAAAAAGAATGTTTGAGGTCAATTCTCAAGCCACACTTCTATATTTAAGCAAACACTGGTCGCACCACAAAAACAGTTAGGTAAAATACTATGGGAACAGACAGACCATTTATCCAAGTTAACCTGACAAAGAAAAACCTGATAAATTCACATATGACTTATGAATGGCCTGCATATTGGGCAATCTTGCTTTCAAGTGAGCTTTTGTCAGCGCCTACTACTTTGTCAACCTCCTTGCCATTTTTTATAAAGAAGAAAGTTGGAACGCTGCTGATGTTCCAGCGTGCAGCCACATCCTTTGCCTCGTCAATATCAACTTTCAAGAATACAACGTTTGGCTGCTTCCCAGCCAAGCTAGTATAAAGAGGAGACATGAAACGGCAGGGCCCACACCAAGTTGCAGTGAAGTACAGAATAGCCAGTCGAGATGTCCTTGAAGCAGCATTTAACTTGGTGTCCAATTCACTAGCAGAGTGGATGCCAATAACATGCCCTGTAAATCACCAAACAAGATAAGATAATCTATATTTAAACTGCCCTCACAAAACCTTTATCGACTGCTACGTGTCAAGAACAAGGTTATCTAAACATATCATCTTGGACCTTCACTTCCTTCCTGCGAAGCATGGTTATCCAGTCCTATGAAGGACTGATATCTCAATTTCATATCTGAATTAGATATCAATACTCCATAGATGCTTGGAGATATGATTCTAGTACTTACAAAAGATATCCAAAATTTGTAAATAAAAACTTTATAATTTCGCACATTTCTGGATGACACACGTCAAACACTGAGATGTAGCCTCTGGTTTAGTATACCACAATCAACCATGGTTGTTCATATACATGTGTGTGTGTATTGGTTGGCCCTCCATGACTGTTAATTAAATCTAAGCATATAATTTAACAGCCCCTAATTTTGTCCTTTACCAAGGTTAACTTCTTAAATGGTAAAAAATAACATTAATTTGAAATACAACTGTCACTGTTGAGAAAATCAATGTAACATAGCAACATATGGACAGCTTGATACATGGGAGTCCATCTCTTTACACTTTTTGGACCTTATTTTGCACTTTATTTGATTATTTTGCCAGCTAATAGAAGAAGAATCCATAACACACTGTAACCCAAGGTCGAATACTCAACCTCTCTTAATTGTGTTGTGGTCTCACAGATAAAGAAAGTTGCAGTTAATGGTACTTTAGGATGCACTGTATTTTATTTAATTATTTATTTTGTCAAAACAATAGAACCATAACATCCTTGATGCCATGTTTTAATGTTATCTACCCCAATAATTGAGCTCTCTCAAATCTACTTCCTTTCTATCTAATAATAGGTCCAACAGATTAAGTCATTATATTTCCCATGGTTTCTTTCAATATACAATGGATTGCACCCAATATGTCTGTTTCATGGTAGCCACAAGCAAACACGCCACAACGGCACCTCTGACTGGTTGGCCATCTGGTCTACAGCAATAAACCACAAATCACCAGAAGATGTATTCTTCTCCCAATTGGATGATTGGAAGTTTAAAACTTATAGTAATGAATTCAATTGTATTTACAAATCTAAATCACTCACCACATCTCTAAAATGGTTTGAATGGGATACCAACAGCAGTATGCTACATAGCAACATGATCTGTGCAAACTGCAAAACCACCAGCTGCAACTTCTATGTGGTTCAAGCTCGAATGGGCAGCTCGTCTAGTAAGGCCTTTGGGGGTACTCTCCTTAGATCGCTGGTTTGTGTCTCACTGAAGATGAGGCCTTGGTTTAAATGATGCACATGGTTTGTGGAGGATAGCATTTTTGCAAACTATCCGAGACTCCAAAGTGGCTAGCGAGTGAGTTGATTCTTCGTCACCCAAAAAGAAAAAAAGAACTTCCATATGTTGTTCACTCTTTTCATACGAAGTGATTAAATTAGTCGTGTTTCTATTTAAGCATTAAATATAGATCAGGGCATTTGGGAGCAACTGATATAATAAATTAATAACAATAAGAAAACTCATATGATGTCCTAAAAAGTTTTCCATTGAGACAACACGGTGGATGACAAGTCCACACCTCATACATCATGCAGATGGGAATGTATGAATCTCACTAGACATGACCTAAAAGAAGACAACTACCACGCTTGAATGGGGATGCAGATTATCCCCTTTGTCTGACTTTTACCCTCCGGTTATAACATTAATGTGAGTAAAGCAACAATAATTTGCCGAAGGCTTGCCCATCCTAGCCACTAAAAACTATTCATACCTAAGAATAAGTAGTTTGATTCCTTGCAATACACTTAATATACTTGATTATCGATCACATCTCTAACCAATCACAAGGAAAAAAAATCTCATTTGTCTTACCTCCAGGATAGGGAAAGGCAGAAATCAAATAAATCACCCTCAAATATTCCCATACGTTCATATTAAAAAAGCTGCAGCATTCATGCGGAACGTGGAACAGGAATAGGAAAGACACTCTAAAACCACATGATCAATCAGCACAAGATGTGCAATGTCATGCATTGAATATATAATCAATACATGTGTAAACCTAACACTAATGTCAAAACAAACACCGCCTTCATTGTAATTTCCCTTCTTCAGCCCACATCTACCTATCTCTCTTTGTCAAGATCACCATCCAGAGTTAGGCTGCTTTGTAATTTTGTCTTGCCATTACAACACCAGTCCTTCACCAGAAGATCTAAAATCCATTAGGTATTCAGAATTTTGTTGGTTTCTGTTTACATCTCTATGTTGAAAGAAAATCATCAGATCTATTGAATCTGGTATTTGGTTCTTTTTTTTGGGTATGTTGCAAATATAAAGATACATTCATACATATATAATATACCAATATAAACCCTAAAAAACTAAGATATATATGAACACACACCTATCAGTATTAACACATTCTTCTTTCTTTTTCCTTTTTTTTTGGTAAATCAGTGTAATCCATTCTAACTACGCTTGTGTGTGTGAAGTCATAACGTATGCTTGACACACCTATTACTGGGGGGACACAAAATGCATGCAAATATGCATGATCTTATCCCGCCTAGTTTTCAGATATATGAAGAAACACACAATATAAGAAACTAAATTGACGACTGAGGTCCACAGTCCACTTGTATTGCATAAAGTATTAGTGATATAGAAAGGAAATTTCAATGGGGAAGTTCAATAAAGCACAAGGTAAGCATCAATCATGAATTTAATTAAGAATAAAGTTAAAAGCCATACCATCCTTCAAAGCAGATGCTGCTTCTGGATCCTGCATCAATTTGAAAGATTTATAAGATTATCAACAATCTGATTTAATAACATAACTCAGCAATGATAGGGGAAGAGGAAGGAGATAATAACCATTACTAGATACATCTGGTTCCAATTATTTGAATTTGAAGCCTATAGATTTGGCCTGGTTAATCAAGGGTGTAAATGCATTACAAACGTGTTTGATTGCCACTGACAAAAACTTGAATGATAGATACATAGGTAGACAGATAAATAGAGAACGAGAGAGAGAGAGAGAGAGAGAGAGAGATGATCTAACATGTGTTCTAGAATAATTACAAATCATGTTTGAAATTTAAAGAGAGATGGAAGGGAGCTATTCCGCAGTCATGGAAACATTTATCATTTATCCAACTGAATTATTTGAATTGAATTTTCTATTTTCTATCTCCTATTTGAAAATGTGAATCAGAAATAGGAATCCTGTATTTTTATAGGATAGATTCCAAATAGAACCTAAAACCAGGCCTCCTTTACTTGATACTATAGATATCATTCAACCAAAGTAGACCTTAATAATTGGTACTATGTAAATTGGCAATTGATCAGAACCCCGTTAAATACAATTTCAGTACGTTATTTTTCTAAAATCACATCTAGTGTTACTAAAGAATATAACAAAGTCAGAAACTCACCGAAGGTTTAGTTTCAGAAGAATGTTCCACCTTCCTATCTCTTTCAAATGTTGACTGCAGCACAATTTAAGTATCAAAATAAGTAATAGGAATTCCATGATGCAAAACATTTGCATAATGAATTAGTTACAAACTTGGGCTTCAGCTCGCCGCTGTTGCCTCTCACGTTCAATTTTTCTTAGCTCCTTCTCTTTTCGCAGGCGTTCATATTTTCTATGATGCTCTTCAATTTTGTGTACATTAGGCTCTACCTGCAGATTTATAGCCAACAATATCCATGACATCCTAAGCTTAAAAAAAAAAAGAAAAGAAGAGGAAGAAAAAAAGAGAGTAAGAGATAGTGAAAATATAAAACATGAAAAATAGAGGAAGGGGGGGGGGGGGGCGCGAAATTGACCTTTTTAAGGACCAAACCGATCTCCACATCATAATCTAACTTTGCTGCCACACGAAGATCACTTGCTGCTTTTTCCCAGTGGCCCAACATGGCCCTTGCCATTCCTCGTATTTTGTACCCTTTTGCTGAGTCAGGGTTAATCTGAAACAAAATTATTTAGACCATTACATCAAGTCGGACAAGATAAAAAATGCAATGAGTAGCATCAATGACTGAGGAAGTGGAACTGCTTGATGAATTTGTTAAACCATAACTAAAATGGACAATCAACAAACCTGTAAAGCAGCATCAGAGTCACGGATTGCAGCATTTGGTTTTCCCAGTTTAACAAATACACTAGCTGGAATGAAGCATGTCAGCTCTCCATTGCAGCATCAGAATAAAGCTAATATGTTCAAATAGGAACGATGAACTAAAGGTGAATTTACATGTATAAGGATTACCTCTAGTTGCATATAATATAGCTGAACTTGGATTCAATAAAATGGCTTCTGTTAGATGATCTACAGCTCCATCCAACTCACCTAGAAAGCATACACAATTTGGTGAAATACATATTCCCAAGAAACAATAGCCAAAAAGATCCAATCAAAAAAATATCAACCACAATAAACTGATGACATGCCTTCACAAATTGCATCTAGAGCTTTTGATTTTAATATTTGTGCAGCATCCCAATTTTCTTCAGTAACTTCAATTGAAGGATCTCCCATCTGCAACAAAACAACAAAGGAATGCATGGTCAATTATCAAACCACATAGCAACCTTAGCTTCATTCTCATCAATTTTTCTACCACCCACCTTCTGTGGAGGATCATTATCAGGCTTAATAACATCAGTGTTATCCAACTCAACATCAGATTCAACAATATCCTCATCCAATTTATCCTCGCCAGGCAGATTGGTTTTCTTGGCACCAGGACGTTCCTTAGAACCTTTAGTGTCCTTACCATCTTTATCCTGCATATCAATTTCTTATATTAGAACATAAATTACAAGAGAATCAAATAAATTAAAACCTTAAAGCGGTTCAGCCTGAGTTCCTAGAAGAATTTCACAAAGGTTGGGCTGTCCATTTTCTAGCAAAGTACGGGATGTTTGCGCTTAACACTTACTCCTTGCTTATTAAACATCCCAACAGGTCTAACACCCTCAACTCTACGCAACCCATCAATTTGGGGCACAAAAACTAAAATAAAGTTTGGGAAAACAAAAGCAGGCACAAAATAAAATAAGATTGAAATGTTTATATTATTGAAGATTTTGAAATCTGTTTCCACATTATTTTCATTTGGATCATACATGGTTATAACTCTGGTTTTGCAGTTACTCCAACTTTTGTAATACTACAGTTTCAGATATTACAGAAAAAAGACTTGAGTCACATCATTTTCTATAGAACATCAACAAAAATAAATAAATAATAATAATAACACCCTTACGTGGAATTTCTAAGAACTCAAAGAAGAAACAGAACTTGAAAACCACAAAAATTGATCTCTTAAGTGATTAGATCGGCACCTAACAACACTACGAAGCATTGAAATTCAAAAAAGAAAGAGTGAAATCCAAGAAACTATGAAATTACTCAATGGAGTTGGGGCTTACTGATTCTGGTGCTGGTGGAATTCGAGCGCCCAAGCTGGAAACGAAACCCCCCAAATTGTTCCAAATACAAAAATAACAACAACAACAGCAAAAGAAATGTTGAAAGTACTTTATGAAAGCAGTGAGATACACTCTGCAAAAAATAGCTAAAAAGAAGAACAATCAATAAACGAGACAGAATTACCTTTCGAGATAGCTTTTGAAAAACCCTAGAGACTTGTTGTGTAGAATGGAAGGGTTTGATTTGCACTTCTCCACGAAGAGCTTTAGCTCTGCAATCTTTTCTGCGTCCATGTCTCTCTCTCTCTCTCTCTCTCTAGAACGATGTCAACTTCTAGAAAATATTCCAATATATTAGAGATGGGGTTACTGTTGTCATATATTTCAGGTTTATTGCGTCTGATTTAAGCGCGGTGCTTATCAACAACACTTGTGTGTAATTTTGACATTTTGCCACGCAGGAGTCAAAACTTTAGACTTGTACCACTTATAACATTTTTCAGCATGGAGTTTTTTTATTTTTTTTATTTTGATAATCAAAATAAAAGACTATCCTATTTTTTATTACTACATTTGCAATATGAGTATTATAATATTTTCTATATTTTAAAAGGGCTGACCTCACTAATAAATTTTCTGATAACCTAAAGGTCCTACAACTTTGTACTAAGGACCTTTATTTTATAGAAAAAATATTATTATTAACCAAAAAGTCTAATATTGACTTAGAAATCCTAATTAATTTTTTTTTTTTTATCACTTAGAAATCCTAATACAAAAGGCCTTTGCTTTGCGGTAAAAAAAGAAGAAGTTGTTTTTGACTAAAAATTCTAATTTTGACTTGAAAATTCTAAACTTATTTGAATAATGTAAGTTAAATATTTTGTAAATTATTCTAAGTTGAATCGTTAAAGATTGACAATTGACCTTTAAAATCTATCTACTGCTATTATTAAGTTAGGTCAATTACCGTCTCTCTCCCTCATCTTATTCAAAAAAAATATATCATCTCTCTCTCTCCTCTTTATTCCTATCTTAAATAAGCCCATCTGTGTTTTTCTTTTAACTTGACTGGGCTCTCTATCTTTTCTATGTATAAAAAATATAAGGGAGAGATAACAACGTTACTTAATTCAAAATGGTGCAGTTTTTAAAATTCCAAAGGATCCAGGTCTTTGTCAATTATAATTTGATAAAAATTTAAAAGAAAAAAATGAAATTTTTACTGCAAAACACTTTTTTCCCTTTCTTTTTTTTTCAAGCAAATTTTTTTGAAACCCCATAGGTTGATTGGTTCGATATTTTAGAATGAAAGCAGAGTTGAATAGCAAAATAGGGGTTCCACAAAAAAATAAAAAATAAAAAGGTAAGGTAGCACCCATTCCTCTCATCTTGAACCAAACAGAAGTTAAAAAGTTTGCATTGTTCTTGACTGGACGGTACATCAACCGCATATATAAAACAGCACCACACATGTATAAAACAACTTATGTTGTTCAGAAATATTAAGATGTGTTCAGGAGGAGGACCACCTCGCACTCCAGCTATACATGAACGTGATATATAGATCTCTTTCTTCATTAACTGGAATTGGAAAAGTATATAATGATCCACACAAACACCATATTTTAACTCAGAAACAGAGTTCTTGTATTTAACATGGCAATACCTACTCAAGTAGGTGTTACAGAAAACGCTGTTCCAACCAACTAATTCATAAACTTAATTGTTAGCCAGTTATAATTATTAGGGTGGGGATAAGCTTTGACATCCGAACATGTCTTAAAAACCATATATTTCATAAACTTTAAGTTTAAGAACCGTGCCACACTTGTCGAGAGTCGACAATCGACTCAAAGAGATTAGTGTGCGGCCCACCACAACAATATCCTCAACTTTCGTCAGGTTTAGAGTTTTCCTACGTTTAATCATCACACACCTTAATGGTGTTTGTCAACTTAAGTAGTTACACAACAGAGTAAAAGTGTCATACCTCAGTTGAGCAATAATAATCATACTGATCAAGCACACTGTTCCTGCATTCTTTTGGAAGAGAAACATATCGAAGAGGCAAGAAACTGGGGTAGCCAACAGCATTTTAGAGATTGATTTGCAGAGCACTGCACTTTGTGTGGATTTATTTGGATCACATAAATTGATTTCGAAACGCAAAATAACCAAATCAAGCAGACAACTTTTTGATTCGTAGCATTTTGGGTTTACAACAGTCTGCCCGAAAAATGACTAATCCAAGCCCTTCGCATTATAGGGGCAGGATTTAAACAATTGAATGCCATGGAACAACAGGACAGAAGACCGCATGAGGAAAACAAATAATATATTGATTGTGTGGAAATAAGATTTTTACAACACAATGGAAAATAACAAGTGTTTCTAGTGTTATCGGATGAAAAGACTCCGATCACAAGCAAAAACAAAAAGAGCTAAAACCATATCTAAGAGACTTTTAATGGAAAATTTGAACTGGAAAAGAATAAAATGAAAAAATGTAAACAAATAACTGAAGATGGTCTCATGGTTCCTCTTGCTATTCTTGGTCACACTGCCCTTAATTGCTAATTGATGGATGGGAAAGGACAAGAACCTGCGGAGTTCATAGAGTAACTCCTGCCTTCGGATCGAGGTGTGCTGCAATCTGGAGATTGCTTGCAGACATACGGAGATGCACTAATTACCCTGAGCACACAGACAAAACATAGTTTTAGCAAAGAAGTTAAATTCTAGACACAGTAGAAGAACAAATAAGTGGGTTGGTAAGTAGAAACTAGCAACTAGCAACTAGCAACACACCAAATTGTGTCTAATACATGTTTTCTTAGTCGACATAATAACATATCTTCACGGGGTCGGTCAACTTAGAGAACAATAAGGGGTATGGATAGCAATCTCAACATTTACTTCCGCAAATCTCAATAACTACCTTGCAGCAATGGATATCATGCCAAATGCAACAAACACCACCATGAGTTCACTTCAAATACCATTGGAAAATGGTGGAATGATTTCATTTCCAAGAAAGGTCTAAAAATGTTCTAATAGTATTAACTCAACAATCAAAATGGCAAGGTTTTAGGCTGGCAAATCAGAGGCAGAAAAAGGTTGCAGTTGACCAGGTAGGCAAAAATCAACTGAGAATTAGTTTTTTTTTATAGGATCGTATACACATTTATAATTAAAGCAACTGTTCATTACCTCTCTTTGCGCCTCTCCAAAAATCGAGCCAAGGATGCTTTACGAGCCTGAGGTACAGCTGCAAAAAAAAGAAAAATGTTAATTTCATTATGGTGATTTCACAATACGAAAAGTACATTACGATGAGAAAATGGCTTAAAGTCTCACCAATGTGAAAGGAATGGACTTTAAAAAATACAATGATTGATATACCTGGTGGAATCATGGTAGCATGAACAGATCCTACTGAACAGACAACTTTAGTAGGCTCCGGTTTGTTAGGAGCTATTGATTTCACTGCTGTTATGTCATTGGTATTGTTGGATCCTGCTGCAGACTGAGGACCAGCATGGGAGGTTACAGAAATAGGGCTCAGAAGACCCAGGCAAGGTGGCGTGTTACGGGACTGATTCCCAACAAAACCATCACTTACAGAAGGCCTAGGCATCGCTGCCTGCACTTGAGCTGTAGTTATTGTTGTAGCAGGTGTCACAGAAGGCCCATTTCCAGCCAACAACATGATAGCTTGAGCCTGGATTAAGAAGTGAAAAAAATAAATCCAAAAATCAAAAACAAAGAGAGAGAGAGAGAGAGAAAAGAACAAAAAAGTGTGTAAACACATACAGTAAATAGCAACAAAGAAATCTAAAGGGCTTGCATATAAGAGTAATAGTAAAGAGAAGGAAAATACCTTCTCAGGAGAAACATCGTCATAAACACACACTGAACCAGCATAAAAGATGGTTAATTGAGCAGGAGCCCCAGAGGTCTTGGAAGCATTCCTGCAGAACAATTACATTTCAACTTAGCCTTCAAGTTATTTTTCAGACAAAAATGTTGAAAAATATTGAATTCAACATTTTCAGCATATATTTTGATAGAACCACAGATTTTAAAAATAATAAAAATGTCCTTAAGATACCTTAAATCAGTGGTACCAACGATGGAACTGTGATTGGGAACAATCGGGACAGGGTTTTGTCCCGCAGAAGCAAGGAAAGATTGATGAACAGGAGTGTTCATGGACACAGAAATCATTTGATTTGTATGGTTGGAAATCGGCAATAGCTTGACTTCATGAGGACGATGAACTGAATGTGCATCAAAGTGTTGTGGAGGATAGGTTGTCACAGAATAATGGGTTCCACTTCCTGCTTGCTTATCAAGAGTCAAGTTTTTCTGTATATTGAAGAAGACAAAAACAATGAAAAATAGAGGATGATCATCATATTACCTAAGCAAGACATACAAAAGCATGTAGAACAAGACTCAAAACAGCAATTCAGGTTAAGCTTCAGTAATTCCATGGAAAATGAATGTAAGGTTCATTACCCAAATGTAGTCCTCCTTAATCGATTGTACTGATGGAAAATGAATGTGCAAGGGTATATAAAAAAGTTTATCTCAAGTTTAATAATTACTGCTTTGAATTTGGATTAGATCATAGAATTTTACACAACTTTGCTAAGCTAAAAGAGATGATGCAAACAACAAACCTGCACGATCGGAGAGTATGGTTTGTGATTCGACTCAAAAGCTTCCGCACTTGATATGGTCATGAATCCAGTTGATGTCAGTGAATCATAACCTGTCTTCCGGGACCTATCTTCTTGAGCAGCCTTAAAAGACAGGAACTGGGGCAGGGCAGAAACCTTGTTTGAGAATGACCACTGCATAGCTGACGCTCTAACCGGTACTGCAAAATCAAAACCACGAGAATATCAACTCAGTTGCATCACTACTAGAATCTCCGTTTATAGCTAAGATAGAACATCATAAGAAACAACCATTTTTCGATTTACATCACATAGATCATGAATCACTTACATATTTCAAAACAGATAACTAAACAGTAATTTGGTGAAATGTAGGTTCATCAACAGCATAAGATTACACGGCCCCTCCAAACCATAAACCAATTATATATATCATCTCTATATTCATCACGGGTAATTTATTAATCATAGTTCAATATAATACTCATGGTGCTCCATATGTGTAGCTGTTAAAAGGAGATGAACATGCTTATCAACTTAAAAAATTGGTTATCGAGAATCTCATGCACATTATCATATATCAATATTGCATTTTTTTTAATGGAAACATATAATTTAATAAGCGAAGCATATGTAGAACCATCTAGTCAGAAACAATTTAATATTACATATTTAAATCAAACCGCACTCGGGATTCTTAATGTATAATCATATTATATAATATACACTGCATTATAGACTTATAATACATATTTTGGTGACATCTGCACAGGCACAAGGCGCATTTTAGCAAAGCACGACCCAACCAACACAACACAACACAACACCACACCACCAAAGGAGATATATAAAACTAAAAGGTAATTCTAATGTAAGCCGGTTTGAAAAGTAGACGTGAAAAGAACGCAGCCCCAACTCGAATTGATAATCTATCCATTTTGACTGTTTCTAAGCAAACGTGAACACCCGTGAGCACTTTAGCAATTCGATAACAAAAATAGCATAAATTATACTAATATTATAGAAAAGAAAAATATGCTTTCCCACTGTTTGGCAGCTGAGAAAAATAGAAATCCGGAATTTCGGGTTTCAATTTATGAGTAAAATGATTCAAAACTATTTTTAGTATTTCGGGAAACAACACGAAGTCGTACCCAGCATCTTCTTTTTAATTGCTTCGATGATCGAGATTAACAAATAAATATAGAAAAATGACACCTTCTACGTTTTATTTTTGGGGGAAATTATTATAATTTTCAAAATCAAGATACCCTCAAAGATTTAATCACAGGACCCAAAATTCAAAATTCTTTCCTTTTCTCAGCAACCAAGCAGAGCATCAATTGTAGAAGAAAGTGTATATATATATATATATATATATATATATATATATATATATATATATATATGCATTAAAATTACATAGTATTACCTGAATGATACTTGCATACATCAGTGATCTCTTCTTTAACAGCGGGCAACACATTTCTTGAACTCAAACCTAAGAAGTCTCTCTCCATCTCAAACTCCCAAATTCCAAAAGATTCACACAAACTCAATATCAAGTCGAACCACAAAGTTCTTGAGGTCCTACAACGAATTTTCAACTTCTTCAACCTTAGAAATTAAATTTAATATAACAAAAAGAAAATCAACCAACTGAGAACGTTTGCTACAGAGAAATGACAGACGCCACTAACAACTTGCAGACACAGAGAGAGCGCGCGCAGTGGTTATAGGTCCGAGGACCGACTGCCGAGAGCTAATAATGCTTCCATCAAATATGACCGTCCGATTATAATTTTGTCACACTTTCTTACCGGCTATTCCCGGTCACCATCCACGTGCGCTGGAGTCACTGTTAATATTGATATTGCTTTTTTTTTTATTTTTACTTTTATTTGTAAATTTTGATATTTTTTATAAAATTATTTTGGATTAATTACACTGACACTCCTCAAATTTTACCAAATATCACATTAAAATATTTTTTGAAAATAACTATCACTCACATTAAAAATGTTTAGTAAAATTATTTTTCATACTTTTCATATGTGTCGGACTACATTTTATATGTAAAAAGATATTGTTACTTATTTAACTTTGTATTAACTTACTAAAGGGTTATTTGATGTACAAAATCCATTATGTGTGTATATATATTTATAATTTTACAAGAAATTCATTAAAATCTATAAAATAAATAAATATAATCTTAAAAAATAAATAAATAAAAGGGAATAAAAGGGAAAATTACATATAAATGGAGTCAAAGTTCCATATTTACTTAGAGACTGAGTCAAAGTTTCATATTTCTCTAAAATGGATTGCTGAGGTGGCACATGATTTTTTACTGTTTAGAAAATTGTGATGCCTATAATGCCCTTACCTAACAAAAAAGTAGTACCTTCAGTTCAAAAAAGTAGTACCTTCGGAGAAAAAGTAGTACATTCGCGGGTGTTTAAAAAACATGGTACCTGGACGCCAAAAAGTAGTACCTTCAGTTCAAAAAAGTAGTACCTTCGAAGAAAAAGTAATACCTTCGCGGAAGGGTATTTTAGGCATCACAATTTCTAAACAGTAAAAAATCATGTGCCACCTCAGCAATCCATTTTAGAGAAATATGAAACTTTGACTCAGCCTCTAAGTAAATATGGAACTTTGACTCCATTTATATGTAATTTTTCCTAAATAAAACCTATAAAATAGATTGTTTAATTCTTCACATACATTAATTCTTCGTGTGAATATATACATACACCTTCTAATTCTTTATATATACGTGCACACACACATCCAGACACCCTAATTCTTTATATATATATAATTACGTTGGTGTAGTAGGATAAACGATGGGGGTAATTTTGTAGCGACTATTTTTGGGCACGTGAAGGGTGAACGGATGAGATAGCCAATAAATCTAAATAAATTTTAATATTTTGTTAAAAAAAAGTAAACATTGAAATTGACCCATTAAAGGACCACGCTACAAGGAATGAAGACTTCAACCGAAGATTTTGCATCCACATGATACCCATGGTGGGATTCAAAGCGAATCTCATTCGAAATATTTTTGTGTGACTATCATTTTCTTTTGTTGAATGAATGTTCAACATTTTCATTTCCGGTCTTTATTTAATTTACATATTATTTTCTATTTAGTACTGTTAAAGATTGGCATGCATTTGAAAAAAAAAAAAAAAAAACTAAAATTTCCATGCATGTTGAGCTCACCTGCACAAGCTAGTGAAACACCCTATATGCCCAAAATAGTATTAGTAAAAGGTTGAATCACATTCCAAAAAAAGTAACGAAGACAACTATTACTACTATAAATTATAAATTGGGTCCACATTTATACATAAATATTAGTGGTAAACACTACAGAGTACAGTAGGCTATCCTATCCTTCTTCTTGGCTTTATATTCAACCAATAATATGAATTTATTTCTGATAACGACTAATACAACAAACGTATTATATATATATACAACAAACGTATTATATATATATATATATATATATAGTCATGGATGACGGAGGTAGATTTGATAAAAAGAATCTAGTGTGAGTCGTATGATCCTTCTGCAGGTACACGAACCAAATGGTACGTGATGAATAAAGAACACATTGTTGTTGGTAAGGTGAATTTTTTAATACCAATGAAGACATCAAACGTACATATTAATATATTAAAAACAAATATATATAAGAATATAAAAAGAGAATTACTTATTATTGGTTGAATATTATAAAACAAATTAGAAAAAGGGAGGGATTGATAAACAATGAAATTAAAATAATGGATGATGGTAAGGAGAAAAATAAATTAAGACTAGTTTAAGAGTAGAAAATTATTTGGTACTTTCTACATTTTGAGAAGCCAAAAATAATAAAAATAAAAAATTGGGAGGCACGAGAAGAGAGAGGGCATGTGCGTTGAGGATAAGCCATGTGATGGTCCAAAGTGAAAGAAAACGACATGGTCATTGGTCCTTGCCTATGAGCAACGTTTGGACAGCGAAGCGGGGCTCATCTTGTCTCATTTGCAATTTCACACGTTATTTTTATTACTATTTTATTTGCAATTAGATTTCATAAAAATAAATAAATAACCTTTTTTGTTTTTTTAAACTGAAGAAGAACTTGCAAATTGATAAAATGGAGTGGTCCAATTTCCATCTCCATGGAAAAGCATTGAAGTTTTTGACACGTACATAAGTTATTATTTCGATAATTTAAAAGTTGAAAGATGGTCTTTAATTAAGAAATAATCATTCAATTCTTTGTATATAAATTATTTAAGATAAAAATATGATAATTTAACATATATTTAGAATTAATATTTTCTGTTGTACAACAAGAATGTCATGATCGTGATCATTTATTATTACACGGCACATATGTTGTACAAGGAAAAATTTAGACTTGACACATAAAATATTTTGTATAATTTATTATGAGTAAATATCAAGTTAAACAGGTTCTGTGATGAATTCTATTAACAATTTATCAGTTTTACAAATTGAATGAATTTTTTTTTTTTTTTTTGGGTAAGTGATCAGATTTGGGTTGCCACGTGTTACTATAGACACTAAAGTACTAACGCGCCAACCCTAAGCTAACCCAACCCATTCTTATTAATAAAATATATACCAGCACAACCACCATCTTGCACTTGAAGGTTTGAATAAAAATTACATATACTAACCAATCAAACACATTGCATGCCATTATATATTTATATCATATAATCGTTTTTATATACTTTAATGGGAGAATCATATATTAGTCAATTGGATGTCGTTTTCTATCTGTCTATATATATATATATATATACACACACACTAAATACTAATGTATCTATCATGCAATCCCTATCTTTGGTGGTCCAAAAAGTTTACAATTAGTGCACTACTAGATTATATGGGCTCGCCATGCACATGAATACCAATCAGATAGTTGTACTAGCTTCATAATTTTACAAATAAACAAATAGACATGTGGGTGGCACCAAACAAAAGTTAAATATTTATTTGTTCTTTCAATAGAATAGCAGTTCTTATGGGGAAAAAAAAATTAATAATAATAAAATAGAAAAAAGAATAGAAGTTGGAAAAGTCTTCACTCAAAATACCTTACGTAAACAGGTCTTTGGCATTTTTTTTGAAAGACAGGTGGTGTTTTGATTTTTTTAAAAAAAATCAAAGACTAACAACGTTCACTTTGAAAATCAATGGATCCTTGTACACAAAATTCAGAGTGTATGATAATTTTCTGCATTTAACCCTTCTAATATTGAATATACAAATGTCATCCAAGTACTTAATTGCGTATTTTAAAATTAACTGATATTGATTTTAAAATATTAGGATTTTTATTTTTATTTCTATTTTTGAAGTATATGAAATAATATATAGGCGTTTATTTTTATTTAATATACCTACAAAAATAATTGAGGAATGCGCAACTCTTGTGCTTTTGAAGGATTTCAAGAGTATTGATCCAGGCAAGATTGAGATCTTGATTTGTTATTTGATTACTTTACAATAATATAATTTGTTAAAATTCATATATTACTTATCTGTATATGATACAAATTAACCAAATTATTGTTGATGCTATAATTGTCTGTAATTTGACCCTAAATTATGATTATTATTTTTTTTTGTTCTTTCTTGCTAATTAGTTTGAGGGTAAATTAGTATTTTCAAGAGGACAAGCGTGCAGGAAGTTATTAAGGTCAATGAGATGGTAAATCAAGAAAAAATCATAACAGCCCATGCCTTTTTCTCGATTTCCAAACCAACCTTACATCACATTACAGGAAGAGTGTGAAACCTTACCTTGAAAAGGTCTTGCCATTTTAGAGCTTAGTACGTAACAGAATGGCATGGGCTATCCACAAGTGCGGCTTGAGTATGGAAGGAGTAACCTTAGTCACATAATTTGGACTTGGGGTCACCTCTTTCAAGCACCGCGTGCGACTTCAGTCACATATTTCGGGATTTGAGGTCATCGCTTCCAAGCTCTGCGTGGGGGTGGGAGCTACCCCTCTCTCTCTCCCTCCACACACACACGAATGGAGATTTGGGATAGAATAACTCAATATTCAATGAATTTTACCTTTAAAAAAATAAATAAAAGAAGATTGAAATTTTTTTTTTTTTTTTTTTTTTACTTTTAAGGGGTTACGTGCAATTTTTATTTTATTTTTTATTTTTATAAGCTTACTGTTGAGAGATATCATGAATAAAAGTTTTGCAAAAAAAATAAAATCAAATTGAGAAGCACTAATCTTTTGCAAACTTCCTCTTAGAGCAAGTTCAATGGTCCAAAATCCAGCGATTTTGGGCCAAATTCCGCAATTGGACTCCTCCAATGGACTCGCCATAAATTGGGCTCCACCCATTGGGTCGGGGAATAAATAGTTGAAAGCAACGACCCCTTTGGCAATTCGCGGGCTTGCCATGCGGGCTCGCATCAGTTTTATTTTATTTTTTAAATTCTGGCCTAAACAATGTTTTAGCCCAGAGCATTGTTCCTAAGGGCATATTTGCCTAAAAAACAAAATAAAATAAAATAGAACAGATTTTTGGCTTCTTTTTGTCTTTTTTTTTTTTTTTTTTCCCCTCAAAATAATTGAACCAAAGAGCCGTTAAGGCACTGTTTGGCTGACCCAAACAGTGCCTTTAAAGGCTTTTTTGGGCAAAAAAAAAAGTTTTAAAAAAATAGAGAAAAGTGTTTTTTTTTTTAAATTTA